ATCAGGTGAGTAGGGAGGGTGTTTCGATACAGTTAATCTGTTTCCTGGCTAAAAACTCCCTCACAGACAGTGTCTTATGAGCTGGTGCATTGTTGTGATGTAAGAACCATGAATTGTTGGTGAAAAGTTCAGGCCAGTCTAACTTTTTCACTCAGCAGCCTTCTCAGCACTTCCAAATAGTAAACTTTGTTAACTGTTTGTCCAGTTGGTACAAATTCATAATGAATAATCCCTCTGATGTCAAAAAAGGTTGGCAACATCGTTGCAACAAGTTTGCGAAGTTCATTGTCAGACCTCAGTAGGTACACTTGACTTTCCACAACCATCCTGGTTGAAAAGAAGTTCTGTCCCTGTGTGGAAATAAAAGATCCTTTTATGGCCCTGAGCAACTTCTGTGCTGGGCTGCACCCAAGTCATGATGGTGATTTTGAAAATACACTTTTACCCAAAGAAAAGCTTTAGTGTCAGCAAGAACATGACCACCATAAACATACTGAGAGACTCAGGGGATTCTGACGGAAGTGGAGACAAAGAATCAAGTTCATTCACGGTGTCACAGAGTCTCCCTGTTATGCCTCTTTTTAAAATAACTATTTATGAAGCACCTGAATAAAGCACTAGGATGGAGACTGAGAAGTGAACACATATTTTCTCCTCTTGAAAAGTTAATTCTCTAGCTGAGCGGTTGGCCCCATCAACCCTGAGGACACTACTTACTGCCCATGTGTCGTTGGTGACTGCACTTGACACCTGGAAGGGTTTCGGCTCCTGTGTCCCCTCAGTTTCTGCACCACGGGCAGAAAACCATGGATGGACAGTGGGAATGCAACTATGGCTACAGGCACATCTGATAGATGGGAGCTTTACAGGCATGTATGTGCCTGAGTTTTTAGTGCGACTTCACAAGATGCACTCTTCTTCGTCCTCACTGATCTGAAAGCTGAAGCAACCAAAAATGACAACTTAGAGACTTTGAGGTGGGGGTATGGGGGGTATGGGGGTGGAGGGGGAGCCTGGGGTCAGTGCTGGGCAGCGCAAGGTCTGGAAATTACTTGTTTCTTTGTGTTCTGAGTGGGGATTTTTAAGCTGTAAAGGCACACACCCAATTTTTAACAAATTGAACAAGGCTTCCTATTTGATCAAGGAAACAGGGTGACTAAATACTATGAAGATTCTTGGAAAGGATTTCCATTCGTACATGGGAACCATGTGGCAGGAACCATGCTAAGTGCTCAATATTAACTATTGTTCTTTAAAAGAACTCTGTTATGGAGATACTATTATAAACTCTGTTTTACAGATGGGGAAATAATTTTTTTTTTTTTTTTTAGCTGAGCCATCCTGCCACCTGTTGGCAGCTCAGCTTGGGCTGAAAATTGAACTGCTGTTGCTCAGAGCTCAAACTCTTGAGCGAGCTCTTAACCAACTGAGCCACTCGGCCGGCCAGGAAATCAAATTTTTAACCCAAGGTCATGGACTCACTCCAAAGCTCATTGTCTTAACGCATGCATGCCTCTTTGAATGATTAAGTTAACCTATTTACATGGGGAAGGGTACTATGCATCTTTCTCCCAGATTTGGGGCTATAATTTATATCTAGTCTCTTCTGCTGCCAGCTTTGTGGGTAGGTGTGTCCCGCTGGGCTGCTATCTCCAGAATCATCTAGTCCCCAGGACTGGGTTTATGCTGTGACGCGGTTTCAGTGGGACTAAAGGATGACCCCTGTTCAGGGCCTGTGTCTCCTCTACTCCTGAACAGGCCTGATGACACCTCATTGGGAGTCTAATTCATCTTGAAGAACTGAGAGATACCTATTTGTCCCTAAATCATTGATACTGGCTACTGTCATGGGACTCTATTCAATGCTTTGGACCTCAACTAGCCAACCCAGCTCTCAGGGCCAGTTGTATCTTATCTAGTAGGTGGGTCTGGAATTGTAGCTGTGGCATCTACAGTAATGGTGCCTAAGTGTAAGCACCTGACACTACATGTCTTCTCTGTAGCTGAACTTGTGCATTAACCTGATGAGATAAAAATCATTTGATTAGAAATGACTTTATGTTAAAATCAGGTATGATATGTATGATTATATGTACATTAGGGATTTATGTATATGTAATTTTTAATGATGTGTATAAATAAGTATATGACTTTCATTTCAGCATAATAAAAGGGTGCTAAGAAATATTTGCAGTGAAAAACAGGCATTGGTAAGGTTAAGACCAGTGGGATGGTGAGAAGAGTAAATAAAACTTTTAAATGGACTTCAGTTCAGATTCTGGTTCAAGGTGAGAAATGATTGGGATTAAATTACTTGACTCTTAATTTCTTTATAAAATGGAGATAGTAATTATAACCTAATTTAGGGCTGTTATGAATATTAAATGTTAGTATAGGTAAAGTTCTTCGGCCCTGCATACAATGAATGCTGAAAACTGTTAGCTATTCTGATCGTTATTAAAATGGATGAAATATACCTCATAAGATTATAAATATTAAGCAAGATACTACACAAAGTGCATAGTTAATAGATATCCAGAATATATCACATTTCACTGAATCCTAAATTCAGAACAAAATAGCAAGGCAGGAATTACACATTCAAAACAAGCCTTTAGTTATTGTTTATTTCACATAGGACACTCAGTGGACATTAACTAGGGCACTTAAAAATCAATTCAATTAGGAATCTTTTTAATCCTTCATCAATTATTTCAAGTGTTCTAGTCTCAAATACATTCCTCTCTTGTACAAACTTCTGAAAGAGATGAATGCCTCCACCTACACCAAAATAATGTGCTTTGCTGGCCAAAAGCACACGCCCATCTTTATCTAACAATCTAAGGAATGTTTGGTGCAACGTATCATAATAATCTGGATTGTAAATGGTTTCTGAGGTGAGAATGAGATCGTATTTTTCGAACGGTTTTCCATTGCTTAGCATAACCTTACAAAACTCAGACCACTCCCCAGAAAAGAACCGGCATTTATAGATTTCTTGTGCTTCTTTCAGTCTCCTGCATCTTTTCACATCTGCTTCGCATCCATCATTTTCTTCATCTTCCAAAGTGGAGTTGGCTGCCACATTAGGTAAGGTTACTTCATCAATCACCATACTATTATAATCTTGAAAATGAATTTCTTTAGCTCCTCCCTTGAGGGCAGCGATACCCAGCAACCCTGATCCACAGCCAAGGTCCAACACTTTTTTCCCAGCAAATTTCAGTTTGGCCTTTGTGAAATATGCCAGGAGGTCAAAGGTACATTCCCAGATTTTTAAGCCTCCTTCGTAAACCCCGGAAATGAGATCAGAGTGGGAAGAAAAGTTTCTTGAAACTATGTTTTCTCCAGGGAAGTTCTCTTTCAACAAGATGGTTTTCACTGCTGATAGGTTATGCTGGAGACCTGGTAACGTTTCTATGACTTTATTTTCTAACACTTTCTTTAAACCTTTAGGTACAGCATGCTCTTTGGCAGCTCTCAGGCAAGGCTGTCTCTCATGAGGCTCCAAGTTACTTGAACGGTTAGCTGTATCGAGTGAGTTGTCTGTGTCTTGAGAGGGAGCTGCATTTCTCACGGACTTATGTTCCTGCAAGTGATCCTGAGGCAAGTCAGGCTGCTCTGGGGAACATGTTTTGTCCCTATGTTTACCTTTTTGACTTTCTGAGATGGAAGACTCTTTTGAGGCATTCAGGGTTAAAGCTCCATCTCCAAGGGGTGTTAATTCATTTTCCAGACCGTCTTCTATAGTGAAATTAAATTGAAAGGTCATCCTCTCATTAAATGTACACAATCCTTAAATTCGAAGGAAGATTCTTCAACTTCTAGATAGAACTGATGATACACACATTCACCTGTCTCAATTATACCAGTAGTTTCGTTCTGGTCAGTTTTTCTTTAGCTTTTTATACACAGTTACAAATATTTACAGGTGTTTTCAAATGACTTTTTAGAGGTCTTTGCTTTTCCTTCAATTTAGCTCTGTAGAACAACAAAAAAATTGTTATTAAAAAGCAAGATGACACATTTCCTTAAAATGTAGTATTAAACAGGTGTCGTCGCCCCCCCCCCCCCCCCCAACAGCTGCGTTTTCTATAAACGCTGTTAGGGAGAGGGAGATAAAGAGTTTTGGAAAAACACATACACCCTTCAGGGCTCAAAAGTTGAAGAGAATGAAGCTTTAAAAACAAATAAAATAGTAGCAGCAGCAACTAGAAAAAACATAAAGTCCAAAATTTGGGGGCAGGAAATGACCAAGCCTAGCTGGTTTGTGTCTTTCACCTGTCACTTCAGTCTGTCACTGTTTCAAGTAACAGGAATTCAAGATTTTAATTTCGGTAAATGAGTAGCCCTGTAAAAACGTGCATGGATATGTTTTGGTGTAGGCTCAGCCAAACGACCTCACTACACTTAGTGGAGATCAGCCACCCCAATGGAAGTATGGGAGTGGGGTAAATGTTGGAGTAATTAGTCAAGTTTAGTTTGGTGGCAGAGCAAACACAAAATAAGGGTAGGGAACCGCCTGGAGAGGCCCGCAGAGAGTGGACGGAAGTAACTTTATTGAGATTCTTCTTTGTATCTACGGTGCTAGACACATCTGGCCGGTGTGTAATTTATTCCCATTACACAAGATGTACTAAGTAGGGTCACACAGTTAAGCGGATTTGTATCCCACCGCAATGCGGGGCCTGGAGTCATTTCCAGCGGCAGGTCCTACGTCAAACCCGACCCCAGATGTGCAATCCCAAAGCCCCATGGGCCGGAGGGTAGCAAATCGGGGGACTTACGGCCCTTCCCTCCCCTCAAAGCACCTCAAAGTAACGTTTACAGCGATCCAGACCTGGGGATGCTCGCAGCTCTGCAAGTTCCCAGGTCACCGCGCTGAGAAACCCGACGTTAAGCCAGACCCTCCGGAGAAAAAGCGCGCACCAGCGAGTCGAGTCCTCCACGGGCCAGACATGCCCGGCTTTTCCCAGCCGCGCGGGGCCGGCGCTCACTAAGCAACGCAGCCCGCTGCCTCCCTCTCTATGGTTTGGACGCCGGCGGAGAGCTCGCAAAGCCTGCCGGGACGGCGGCGTTTCCGGTTGTGGCCGTGGCGGGAGTGTTTTGAAGCTGGGCTCCCGGGCGAAAGCATGTCTCAGGAGCGCGCGGTCCCGGCGAGCGCGGTCCCGCTGGAGGAGCTGAGTAGCTGGCCGGAGGAGCTGTGCCGCCGGGAGCTGCCGTCCGTCCTGCCGCGGCTCCTCATATCCTTCACGGGTCGTCACTGGCGTCCAGAGAGGGGGTGTGTGGCGGGTATCGCACTTGGCCTTCGTCGGCCTCGTCACACCCACCGCCGCCGGGCCGTGTCGTGTCCCTGCGGCCTGAACCGTCTCCTTGCTTTGTTGGTGAGCCCCACAGAGCCGCGAAGGGATGGAGGGCGAGCGGGAACCGTGGCTCCCCGAGACCCAAGGCTTGCCAGGCTCAGGCACCCTAAGGGCTCGCCGAGGTGTCCGGCCCCAGGACTGGCAGTGGGTGTGGCGTTGTTCTTCCATTCCTCGGTGCCTTTGAGTTTTTCTGCACTCGTTACGTGCACTTAGGTGTAAATGCTTTTGCGCGGGAAAAGCGGGGGGAGGCGAGGACTCAGACCTGAGCTGTAAGGCAGCCCCGGAAGAGCTGGATGAGGTTGGGGGGTGGCGGGGGGCACTCCGAGCTGTTACCATCTTACGGATATATATTCGTACGGTGGATATGGTCACAATACCTTCCCCAGTGTTGTGAGAAGTAAAGGATGCATTTCTACCACGGTGCCAAGTCTGTAAAAGATGATAAAAATGTCCCGTTCCCCCCCCCCGCCCCCGTTTCCCTTTATTGCTGATTAGGCGTTGCTACCTTGTCATTGGTTCCATCTGCTGGGCTTGAGTTAATTCCCTGTGGTCCAGCTGCAAACCATTCTTTAGTGGTCTCGTGCCTTTGTGGCTGTAAAGGTGCCTGGAGTCCTAGCCTTTCATTTTAAAAGGTAATTTGTTCGTTTTATGTCTTTGCGCTCACCTTCAATATAAAAGTACACGTCCTAGAAAAAAAAATGACCTGCACGTGAGAGAGTCTCAACACTGCACAAATAATGTTTACAGTTAAAGCCCCCAAACAAATATTACCATCACATAGAAATCATTTACGTAGACAATCGCCAAATCCCACTAGGGACCAAAGCTGTGTTTTAGCCCTTGTGCAGATGTAGAGTTGCCCGTCCTCAGGGGTTTTGCCTTGGGAAACAAAACAGCGATCCTCAAAAACATTTACTGGGTGCCTTTTATGTACCGGGCAGGGAGGTAGGTTTTGGGGGAACAAAGGTAAAGAACATGGTTCCTCTTCCCCTCAGATTTATAGGGGGACCTCAGTAATTGAAAGTCAACTGCCCCATCTGGTTTTGCATCTCAAGTTAATTTTCAGAAGAACCCAAACCTGTTCTTCCCCCAGTTTTCTTCATCTAAGTAAATGGTTTCACAAGCCAAACTTGATAGAATCCTTCCCCCCCCCTTCCCTCTTTCCCTCCCTCCCTCTTTCTCTCTCCCTCTCTCTCAATCTCAATCTCAATCAACAAGATCTGTTGTATCTGCTGTCACACTGGACCTTGAATCCATCCACTTACCTTCATCCTCAGCTGTTTCTCCTCTATTCCAACCCCCTGGCGCCTCTCACCTGGACTGTTAATAGTTTCCTTGCTTCTACTCTTGTCCTCTTAAAATCCATTCTCCAAGTAAAGTTCAGAGTGAAAAAGAGATCATGTCGCTTTGAACCACCCCCCAGTGGCTCCTTACCAAATTAGAAATAAAGTTGAAGCTTACCTTCAAGCTTCCTGTGGTCTAAGCCTTAGCCTCTTCTCCCACCTCGCCCACTACACTCCATCCCCAAAGACATGAAGCTCACCTGCCTACGGGGCCTCATGCTTGCTGACCCCTCAGCCTGCTTTGTTCTCCCAGCCGTTTGTACAGCCTGTTATTCAGGCCTTGGCTCACGTTTCAGAGCCCTCGGTTTCAGGTAGTTCCCCCAAACCCTGTCTGTAACACTTCTATCACGTTGCCTGTTCATTTGCCTAAAGAGTCCTTTATCATTAACAGAAGTTACTTTGTTTGCTTTGTTCATTGTTCGCTTTGCCTCACAACACTGTCAAGTTCAGTTTTGTTTTCAATGTGTTACCCTTAGAACAGTGTCCGGCAGGTACTAAGCATTGAATAAAGGGCTAAGAATAGTGTGTTTTTAAATTGCCTGGAAGTCTCATTAGGCGTTATTTCTTTTTAGCTTTTAGTAGTATTTTATCTTTTAACACTTTTCAACAGTTAAAATTTGCAGTAAACCCACAGTCCCATCACTGAAACGTAATTATTTTCACATGTTGCATTTTCGTATTCTCCAGTCCTTTCTCGCATGCCTTCATAATCACAACTTACGTTTAATTTTGGAAGAGGCTAGAATTTTTGGTCCTTTGCTGAAATTTTTCCATAAGGCAAATTCTGCCAGACTCAGATAAGTTAATGCTTTGAATGCTGCTGCAAGAAATATGTATGCAACGTTAAGATTTCAGAAGAAAAATCAAATCTTAGTGTGATGGGGTTATGGGTTATTCATTTTTCTTGTTGACACATCCTTTAATGATTCTTACATTGTTTTTACAGTATAACATTTCTAACAATTCCTGATGGCATATGCAAATGTATGGCTTATAATGTGATTGTTGTTACGAAATTTATTGTCACATATTTTGTAAGCTCCTATCTGTAGAAGAGTTAGTCTGATAAGGTTGGTAAGAAAAGTATGCAGGTAATGTGAAAAGAGAAAGTGGTGAGCGACTTAAACAGGTACAGGTAAAGGACTACAGAAATGCCGAGGAGGAAGACATTGCTTTCCTGTATTAGACTAGAAATCCATGGCTGCTTACAGCAGTGTTTCTCATCTGTCAAAATATTTCATGACTTCACATAGTTTGAATAGGCAAGTTTATCCCTGAGCAATTTTTAAAATATTTCCTTAAAATATTTTCATAATATTGTTTGTTTACCTAATAAACATTGACTTTTTAAAAGCAAAATTAAACCAGTGATTTGAGTCATTTCAGTCTCTTATGGATCATTGTTTAAACTTCAAGAAGAATTCTTTTTTAAAGTTATTCTCACTGGTGAATATCCAATTACTGTGATACTAGTATCTTCCTTAATCATTTTACTCCATGTATCAACATTCTGACAATTGGATCGAGCATATCCGTAAGTAAAGTTATGTTAATTGTACGATTTACTTTGATGACATTAAGGCCTCAGTCATGCCTCTCTCAATATGGCTTCGTATTCCCTTCAAATTGAATCTTTTCCTATCATAGTGTTACAGCCTCTGTAACTTTCAGTTACTTAACATGCCCTAATTCTTACTAATAACTGAGTATTAAATTCCATTTTTGATAGATAAATGTGTTGTGTTTAATAAGCACAATGTTAGCTGTTAAACTGCGGTTAGGCCTCTATAAGATGTAATTTGCAGCTGCTTAAGCTTGAGCCTCTGTCATGTTGAGCATCATTTAGAAAATATTTTCTAGGTTACAAAAAGCTGGCTGTTTAGACAGTGACAAGTTTGTCATTTGGAAAAAGTTGACTTTGTCATCTTTGTCTTCTTTGCTCTTGCTTGATGTGAATTACTTAGAGGAAGTAGAGGGTTTAGACTGTAGAGTTCATGTACATTTTGAGTTAGCTTGTTCTATTTACGTTTCACTTGGTTGTGGAATGTTTATATTTTTGAATCTGTGTTGCCTGTTTGTGGTCAAATTTTTTAAAGTAATAAATTTTTTTATCCTGAGTATGAATTACACATATTCATTGTAGAAAATTTGAAACATGCAGAAAAAACAGAAAACAATAAAAAAAATAAAATTACATCCATTGATCTGAAATTGTTAAGGTTTTGATAACGGAACATTTTTATCTCCTTTCTCTGTATTTCTGCCAGACTGTTACTTTTTTGTATGTTCATGTTTATAGGTGTCAAAATTGGGATACTGTTTTGGTACCTTTTTTGTTTAACCTTAAAGTTCTGTAAACATTTTTTCATGGTTTTAATCTCTAATAATAATTTCAGTGATCACAGATCTTATTCAGTAAATGTACCTACATTCATTAACTGGTCCTCAACTGCTGGACATATTTTCCCCTTTTTTTGATATTATTGTAGTTACTTAATAGTTTCTCTCTACAGAATACAGCGCTTGACACTGTGCGATGCTTTATGTTGGTGGTGCTTACATATTCTCACATTTGGAAAGAGCGGTGATCTTGATGGCTGACATGACTTCATATTCCTACAAAATGTGTTACTCTTTTGCTTTATAGAAATTCTGAAAGTTATCGTAGAAATGTTTTTACCTCATATGAACCACCTGACACTGGAACAGACTTTCTTTTCCCAAGTGCTGCCAAAGGTATAGTACTATTATTATCTTAATGTACAGGTTCTAAAGGCTGTTAAAATCTAACTTCAGTTTTAGATCATTTTTAATTGTGGCTTTTTTTTTTAATGTATCAAACATATTTGAAATACAAATAAAGTAGTAAAAAATAGATCTCATGCTGAGAATAGGGTGGTGTTAGAGTAATCATTAAGTGATTAAAAGTTTATATTTTCAGATAGTATGCATCCTTTGCTAATTGAACTTAAATTATTGGTAGTTAATTTTAAGTATTCTTATATTTTAAATATATTAAATGAAAATTTGGGATGGGTGATAAAGTTAGCAAGTCCCTTTGTTGTGTCTTCTCAGTAGAATTTATTAATAATTGTTAAATTATATTGTCTGGAAAAATGGACCCAGGATGTATTAAAGAAGCCTTAGAATAAGAGGCTGGAATAGCGATAAAAATCAAGTAACTAATATAAAACATTACATTTACAGATTACATTATTAATTTTTAGATATATGGTATACTTTTTCTCTGAAAAGCAGTCTTTGTTTTTTTTTAAGTTGAGAGAATTAAAGGTACTTTGGTGCCAAAATGAAACAATTTATTATAACTTATTCTCTTATTGGAATGGATTTCTTCTAAGTTTAGCTGAAACAGATAATCATCAGTATTCATTTTATATTTCCTTGATTACGCTCTATCTGAAAAGTTTCTTAGCATTTGTTCCTGAGTACCAGAAAAAGGCCCAGGTGCTATATAGGTGAAAACAGGCTGTTGAGCGTCAGCAGGCCTGTGGAAAACAATATCCTCTGTAATCACCTTGTGCTGTTGACTCTGCTTATTCTACCAATATTTCGGCCATTTAAATTGCTTAGAAAGATCCTGGTATTGAGATCTTAAGGTGGCTAACCTTTCACAAAAGAAACGTAGTTCTGAGGCCCCATCCTGTGCCTCTAACCCAGGAACTGTATTTCGAGTTGGCTGAAAAGGGGAGCTGGTTAGGACAGAAGTGAATAGGCGATTCAGCACCAATTCATTACCACTACCGGAAGTTACCCTTGGGAACGCCCATTGGGGGTGCTGATTGGTTAAGACCTTCATTTTTTATCATATAAAGAGTAGCACTTATGTTTGCCACCTCACCAAAAAATGAACTTTGAATGATTTTTTGATTTTTTGATCTTATTAAATAGATTCAAACCACAAAATGGAAAATAAGTCCATTTCTGTCTGAGGCCTTATTTTTTTAAGAGATTGAATTGTAGAATAACTATATATACATAATACATAAATATATAATATACAAACATTTTATATATAAAGTATGTGTGTACACACACATATACACACACACACACATATGTATATATATAAAACTTTAAAAGTGAAATTGTTAAGCTAGACGATAATATCCTAAGGGTGTTGCTATGCAAAGTAAAAATCATCTGATTTTTATAAAAAGATTTCTAGTGATTTCTATTTCTGTTTATAATCTGCTTTGTTTTCAGACTGTGAAGTTATTTGATGACATGATGTATGAATTAACCAGTCAAGCCCGAGAACTATCAAGCCAAAACTTAGAAATTCAGACCACTCTAAGGAGTATTTTACAAGTAAGTCAAATGTATTAGTAAAAGAGAGATGGGGGCTTAGAGAGTGTGAGAATTTTAATACTGATACTGCCTAGCCTCATGCTCTTCGTGTAATGGCCCAATGCTAGAATTAAGTTTATAGAATTAAAGATAAGAATACAGACACATAAATTCTGAACTTTTTATACTATTTCATGCGGAGTAAACATCTAAACTGTCAAAGGAAGATAAATCATCAAGTTAGCAAGCCCTACCTGTAATTTCACAGCATAGGTCAGAATGCCTGCCATATATATTCCTTCATACGTGTGTTAGGATTCCAACTTTTTTTTTTTTTTTTGAACCAAATGGCTAGCTAGTTGCTCCAGTATTTGTACTAATGATAGCCTGCAGTTCTTTGAAAGTAGGGGCAGAGCGTCTGTTTTGTCCACTGCTGTATCCCTAGCACCCGGAATACTGTCTGACACTTTTTAGGTGCACCAAACATGGATTCTGAATGGAACTCTTTCCTTATTTCCAGACAATGGTGCAGGTCGTAGGAGCTCTTACAGGATGTGTTCAGCATGTCTGCGCCACACAGGAACCCATCATTCTAGAAAATATTCACAGTCTCCCCTCCTCAGTCCTACATGTAATCAAAAGCACCTTTGTACATTGTAAGGTGAGTAACGGGTCTAAGACACTTTAAATGGCCTGGAATCCACGGGCAAAGGAGCTGAGTAAAACTGTACATAAGATTTTACATTTTAGCCTGTGTTATTGGAATAGACTTTGCCATAGAACTAAGAGCATGTATGGAAATATTTTTAAATAAGTGATTATAAGGAAGTGATAAAAAGTGGGCTTTTGCCTTTTCTTTGTTTGATCCTGTCTCCTGTCTATAAAGAAAGAAGTGATACGGATTTGTATCGAGTTAACAGGGATCCTGAAATTGTTCTGTCAGGACATTGGTGAATCAGATGAATTCCTTAATGTTAGATGCCTGTAAAGGGACTTGAACCCTTACTTAGTTCATCTCTGCATTTCTGAGGCAGCTTTAAACCACAAAAGCGGGCCTAGGGTTTGCGGGTAATAGGCAATTTTCATCCTGCTCTTTATTGGGTGAATGAAAATCGCTTCTCTTGGTGAAAGGTGCTAAAGTGTCATTCACCTGACCCGGTGGTGTGAATTGCCCTTTTAGCTCCATATTTTCAAGGTCTTGGGAGTCAGAAATCATTTGACATGCTTGCATTTCTTGAAGAACATTGTATATAATGCATGTTCACGAAACATTTGTTTAATGAATGAATATGTGAGTTAGTACAATACGTTAAATATATAATCTCTGATAGTATGAGTTAAAGTAAATTTGGCTTTTGAGCTTTTTATGATTTGCTTTTTCTCTCATTTTTATTTATTTGTGAGCAGAATAGTGAATCTGTCTATTCTGGGCGCTTACACATCGTTTCAGACCTTCTCCAGGCTCTTTTCAAGGAGGCCTATTCTCTTCAAAAACAGCTAATGGAACTGCTGGATATGGTCTGCGTGGACCCGTTAGTGGATGAGAATGATGACGGTTTGAATATGGTGATGGGTGAGTGAAGGAAACTTGCTACTTAGTACATGATACGTGTTGACTACATTGTATATCAGTTACGTTATTGAACTCAATATTATTTCTAATGATTCATGGTTTTATAGTCATTCTGCATAAAAAAATAAATCCTACCAGATATGTTTTAATATTTTAAATTTTAGAATTTAAAATTTGATGCCTTAACATTGGATCTGTGTATTCAGTTAAAGCTCATAGTAGGTAATTGACCTACATTGATTAACAAAGAAAAGTGTGCAACTTTATACACTCTAAAGTGGTTCAGATTCAGAGGCAGTAGCTTTAAGAGTTTTAAAAAATATAACTCATAGTAAGAAATGCAGTTTGCATTCCTTCTCAGAACACATAATTACATATGTGTGTGTACGATTGTGAGAGTGTGTGTGTGTGTGTGTGTGTGTGTGTGTGTGTGTGTGTGTGTGGTTGTCATTGACCACACTCCCCTCTCTTTTGGAAGCAGTGGAAACACCCAGCCAGCCATGTGGAGCGCATCACCCAGCAGTTTTCAAATCTGCACTTGCCTTACATTTATTATAGTCCCATTGGTCAAAGCAAGTCATATGGCTAAGGCCAGGGTCCGCGTGGAAGGGGCTGCCCAAGAGTGTGACACAGAAACGGGAGCTGTTGTGGCCATTTTTACAAATAATCTACCACAGACAGAGTAGAAGCCTAGTAGTGTGTAAATTACTTTTGTTAGGTTTTCTTTCCCTATGCTCATTTTGTCATTTTAGATTAGAATTATATCTATAGAATATTTCAGTTATACTAGGGCACAGCTTCATCCACTAAACATTTTAGTTTTATTCAGGTCATAGGGTAGGTGTAAACTTCAGAAGTTGATTTCCATAATTTATAAAAACTTTAAAACTGTGACACTTTAAGTAATTATTTTGGCACATTTTTTCTGCATTACCTGTTTTAACATGTCAAATTGTTCAGTAGATACTTTTAAATATAGGAGAAACGTGTGACATTTGAATGTTGTTTTGAGTTCTGTTATCTTTCTTTTGTAGTCATTCATTCATTGTTGGATATCTGCTCTGTTATTTCCAGTATGGACCATGCATTTCATGCCAATACTTGGAAATTTATAATTAAGTAAGTTTGTTTTGTTTTTGTTTTTTCTTTTTGTAATATATTTTCCATATCCAAAATCTTCATTATTCATAGTTTTCTTAGATTGCATTGGAAACATTTTGTGGAGGTGTATATGATGCTCACTGGCCCTGCTGTCTGATAATCCAGATAGCCTACATGTAGCTCCCAAACCAAGTTGGACTTCTTTACTCTGCTGCCTCTGAAATTAAAAAAAAATAATAAGGAAGTTCCAAACAGTTAGCTGGTACTTCTGAAATAATGGCCCAGCTAAACCTTAACCACTTGTCTGCTGCTAGCTGTTTAACTGACTATCAATTATCCTATTTCCAGGCTTAGATAAATTAGTAATTACAATTGGAGCCAAATATAATCCCTTCATATGTGCTTTTGAGTTGTTCAAGTTCATTCCATTTATAAAGTACCTTTAACTGGAGCATTCTGAGGTTACTCGGGAGTGCGCCCATAGGGCCATCGCATTCTCAGGTGCAGGAGGACGTATAGGTGAGATGTAGGAATGGCAAGCACCTCTGCCTTACACACACGCATAAAGCATCAGAGGTCAGTGTAACTCCGCCAGGTCTCTGGTGCTTTTCTGCACCACCAGGTCACTAGGTTGCCCACTAGCGATAGAGCAGTGGTTCCAGGTGGCAACTCAGAGCCCTGCTGCATATGCCTGAGTCCATGCTGAAATCACTTACTCCTCTGGGCCCTCAGAGTGGGAACAGTGGTACCTTTTGGCGGGGTTATGGTGAGAGTGGAGTTTATCGATGGGACGTGCTCAGAACTGTTTGTGGCACACAGTGCGTGCCCAGCGACTTAGCCGTGTCACCATTGTCGTCAAACCCCTTCCACTCTTGTCCCTCCCAGTCCATGTTTTACCCAGCACTCAGACTGGTCCTTAAAAATGCAGATCAGATCCTGTCCTTCTGCAGGTTAAAATCCATCCCATTTTACTAGGAGTAGCAATCCAGTACCCTCTGGGCTGTGCTCTCTTCAGCCTGTACCGTCTTTGCTGCCCTCTCCCAGCTCTGAGGTCCTCAAACCTACCACACCCTCCTGTCCCCGACCCTCTCCCTGGCTGTTCCCTCTGCTGGGATGTCCCCACCCTCTACACCTCGGTGAGCCCTGCTTACCTGCCACAGCTTCGTGGCAGCAATTTGATAGCCTTCCCCTAAGAATAAGTTAGATCTCTCTGGGGCAGCACCTGGGACCTTTCTCTTGTAGCATTTATCACAGCCATAATTAATTATTAATTAACATCCTGTCTTGTGCTGGACCACAGTTCATGCAGACAGCACAGAGATTGTGTCTTTTTATTCACCTCTCTATCCCCAGAGCCTAGCACAGCGACTGGCGCATAGTAAGAGTTCAATTACTATTTTACACGGAGAAATCCATAGTTAGTAAAGTTGGCACATCTTAATTATGTCATGTTTAATATATGCATTGTGATTTTTTTACATGTCCCTTCAAGTCATATTTTTATGGTCCTAAGTTACTTGATGTGTTACTTGTGATTGTGTCTTTTGCTTTTTATTCCTGTAGGCAGAGCCTGAAGCACCAGTCGGTTATAAAGAATCAGCTGAAACACAAGGGTGTAATCACTAACTTGTGTGAAGACATTCTTTTCTCCTTCCGGTCTTGTTTACAGTTAGCCGAGCACATGACCCAGTCCGAGGCACAGGTAAATATGCTCTAACAGCACTTAGAACAATGGCTCTTATTTCCTTTGACATTCCGACTGCACCCCGTTTGACTCGATGGATCAGTTTACCTAGAAGGGTTTTAATTGGTTTCATTTGTTTTCTGTTTTTTTCAATCCGTGAGATGATTTAACCTATAGTCACTTCACCTAGAACATTGCATTGGACTCCTGTCTGCTCTCATTCTCTCACGAGCCTACTTTCCCCTCCTTTTTCCATATTAACTGGCTGGCCAAGGCACTCTCCTCAGACGCCTCTCATTGTTTTGTACCCTAAGACACAAATGGAATCCCTTAGTCCTGTACTTACTTAAGATCGTCCTGATACAGCCACAAGCACCCCTTCTTCACCGATCCAGCGCAACCCGCAGAGATGGCAAGGTACAACTCGGTGTACAGTCTTCTAAAATTGATTTTTACCTAACGTTTATTTTTATTTCAAAAGCTACGGTGTTGAATTGGCATCCCACTTATGACACATTGTATTTGTTTGTAATATGCTTATTGGGAACCATAGTTCATTTTCCTATGACAGTGTTATACATAAGTGCCTTTTGTCCTCAGACTAGCCCTTTAAATTTTACTTAACTCATAAAGCCCTAAATTATAGGGTTAATAATACCCAGGACCTAACAGTTATATATGATAATTTTAGCGGGAAAATGAATTAACTATTTTCTCCGAATAGCAGTAACACAGCCCGTCCTGCTGTAGGCCCACAGCCTGACATGAATCTCTCTGCACCAGCGTTCTTCCCTGCCAGGCTTCTGTGGGGAAGGGGGCATAAGGACTCAGCCAGTTCCGAAACCCTGGTGGCAACTCCTGGGCTGGGATCTGAAAGAGATGCTCGCGGGGGGCTGGACATTTGAAAAGGAGTTCTGAAGTCAGCGAGGAGGAGCTTTCGGAGGAACTAACCTTTTCCTCCGTGCTTCTCTGCTTTTTCTCTTACCTGTCCTCCCTTACATCCCTTCTTTCTCTCCCCCCCCTGGTTTTCTGTCCCTCCTCCTTCAGGTACCCTGACTTCCCTTCACCTTGCTGAAAGGCCACGCATTTGGTTGGCTACTCCGTGTCAGTGCCAGGAAGGTGCTCCTTTTCCATGTTTATCCTACACGTCTGTCTCCTCAATCTCAACCTGCTCTGCCTCCAGGCCCCTCTGCTTATCCTGACACCACAGACTCCCCAGCTGGTACATGGAGAGTTCAGATTAGACGGGTTACTGGACAGGAGTGATATGTGGCAAGCCCTAAATTCCAAGCAGATTTTCATGTTTTTCCTTATTTGTGAAAATTTGGGATGATAAATTTGAGCAGCACTACTCACTTGTCCATTGCCTGCAGTGGAGCTTTGAGATGGTCTGTATTCTTTTCTCTAAATTCTGATCAGCATCGCCCTCTGTTGTTCACTATTGATATTTATTTTGGAATCAAGCAAAGTTTTCCTAGCAGTGTTTTCAAAAATGCCTAAATAAAACCACTAGATGTAATTAGTTGGATGCTATTAATGGAAGGATATGGGTATATCAGTTCCTGTATTCATTTCTTGCGTGGCCATAGCAAGTCCCCACAAACTAGGTGGCTTAAAACAACAGAAATTTATTCTCTCATAGTCCTGGAGGCCGGAAGTGTGAAATGCGTCAGCAGAACCTTGTTCTCTCGAAGGCTCTGGGGGAGAGTCTGCTCCGTGCCCTTTGCTTAGCTCTGGTGTCACTGCCACTCCATGGCTTGCAGCCGTGTGACGCCGTTGTCTGCCTCCATCATCACATCATCTTCATAGAAGACACCAGCCGCTTGGATTAAGGCACATCCTACTCCATATGACCTCATCTTAACTATTATAATTATATCCGCGATGACCATATTTCCAAATAAAGTCACATTCTGAGATATTAGGGGTTAAGACTTAAACATATCTTTCTGGTGGGATATTGTTCAGTCATAACAGCCGCTGACGTTGACAAGATATTTATTCTCTGTTAAATCTTGAACATGCTTTCAAAATGAGAGTATTCTATTGGGCTTTACCATATAGTTTTTTATCCGCCGATGATTTAGTTTTTCTATAAAAATAGGGAAATTTATTTGTAAGGCTCTTTGATATAAATTTAATTTCCACTGCAATTCCTACTCTTGTTTATATATTGCTTATAGAAGTTTGTTTTATGAAATTAGACATATTTTTACATCTGTTGCCTACACTTAGATTTGTTGCCTGCTGCGTGTAGTTTTCAATCGGTATTTCTGTTATTTAAAGAAAGGAAGAATGGCTACTCAATATTTTGAAACATTGAGAAATGGTCTTTCTTGCTCATGTCCCAGCCCCTCCTTTGTTGGCACAGGGATGCAAACATTCTGTTTTAAACAGTTGAGTAAATCAAGATGGGACAGGATTTGTGTTGTACACTTGGCTTTTTGAAAATGTCAAAATAAAAGCTCTAGAGTTAACTGGTATGCATGAAGTAAAACTAGAGTCTTCAACCAAATTTTGTACAATTTCTTTTCTCTTGAATGAGAAAGAAAACTTGAAAGTAGGTGGACATGATAAGTTGAGTGTCACCATTCATTCATTTAATGAGTATTTGCAGAGTGCACGTTCTGTGCCAGAATATTTATGAGGTGCTGAGTTAGTCACATTTTCTCTGTCAAGAACTTATAGTCTAGCTCGGGAGACAAATAAGCAGGAAATTATAGAATAGTGTCATCTGTGGAGAACTGGGGGTTGGCTCATGGGGGTAAAGGTAGAAACCCAATCATGAAGTCAGGGAAGGTTCCTTGTGATGTGAATCTACGCTGAATAAAATTTCTTCTTGAGTATATTATGGGGTCAGTTTCTTCAGCTTTAATCTGTACTTGTAAATTCCCATAGCACTGTAAGAGTTCTTGCACAGAATTATCAAAGGAAGGTGAGTTTTCACCTCAACCTATTTTTGCTGAGAAAAATTGACCGTTTGCAAATATTTTTAACAGGTTAAAATGAAGGGTCATGTCTAATTAGTGGGTTACCCAATTCCGTTTTGATTGGTTTAATTAAGGTTTTGCTGTATTGAAAAGAAATCAAACAGTCAATTAACATTAAAGTTAACATTTATTTCATATGAAATTCTCAAAATTAAAGACAAGAATGTATCAGACATAATTTTATGGTACTAATTTAAGGCTCTTTAGATTATAATGTGTATTACACATTTGGGTAACATAACCAATTTTACTGAGCTAAGTCGCCTACGCATCAGACACTATTTAAACTTCACAGTCACCTTAGTATACTCCGAAGCCACCTTGCGGCCCCTTGGAGAGGTTGTGTAACTTTCCCAAGGTTGCCTACTGGCTGTGCTGGGGCGGGATTTCAGTTCAGGCAGGCGTGCACGTGGCTGTCTTGGCGTTACCCACCGTTCTGTCAGGATACAAATCCTACTTTCCTCTGATAGAACCATTGGTGAGGTTTTGATTTATTTTTGAGAGATTAAGGAGCAAATGTTAACACATAACACATTTTAAAATAATAGAGTTATATTATACATGTTTTGCAGCTTGAGTTTTTACTTTATCTCCACACTTACTGTGTCATGAAGATATTATCTACTTGATTCTTTTTAATAGCTCTATGCTCTTAAAAATTTATTCATATACCTTGAATTTATTTAACCAGTCTCCAGTTGATGGATACTTGATTCATCCCACTTTTCAATGTATAAAAAATGTTGCATTGCATACCTGTGCTAATATTTCTATGGGATATATTTCCAGAAGTGGAACTGCTACTGGGTCAAGGAATTTTAACACTTTATCTTTTGATAATTCAGAAAGTGTAATATTTTATGCTGCCACGAATGGTAAAAGAAAGTGCTTGTCACCCCACCTCCGCATCAACTCTGGTTATTATCAGCCTTTTAAATCTTTGCTAATCAAAAACTCCTCTCAAAACACGTATTGTAATTAGGAATTTTTTTCAATAATAGTTTTTTTGTAATTTGTATTTTCTGTAATCTGCCTTCTCCTGTCTTTTGCCTGTTTTATATATCATTCTTTTATTGGTTTGTAAGGCCTTTTTCTTTTTCCCATCTGTTGATCTGCACATAAGCAAAGAACAATAGGTTTTTAAAGTTTCTTTCAGATCAACCCAGAATGACCCATCTTTTACTGTTATATATAAGATTTATTTTCAGTAATGTGGAGTTTAATTTTTTGAAATATTTATTGTCTTTTGGTGTTTACTGGTATTCCTCTTAACAATTCAGAGTAGAATTATGTTTTCTTGGAAAATAACACTCTTAAGTGTTTATTAAGAGTTCGTTTTAGAAAATATTGTCCAATTTACAAGTTCAGTTTATTTCATATTATTATTTCCTTGTTTGAAACAGGATAATGCTGACTACAGATTATTTCAGAAAACACTCAAATTGTGTCGTTTCTTTGCCAACTCTCTTTTACACTATACTAAGGTAAGGCTTATTTTTTATAATGCATAAATGTGAAATAATAAATTATAAATGATCTTGTTTTATCATTCTTGTCAAAAACAATCTTTTGATGTCATTTGATCAAGTATATTTGTAGCGTTCTTTTGTTTTGGGGTTTTTTTTTTTTGGTTTGGTATTGTTAATTGTTAAATTTGAGCATCTGTTCTATCATTTAAGTTACTACCATCATCGTTATTTATTCAATTACCTGAAAACATTATTTAATATCAATGTAATTAAAATTTCTGTAAGCACAGGTCAGTTTTCAGAAGATAATTCAGCTTGCCTCCAGCTACTGTTTATAAGTTATTTCTACTATTTTTCTAAATTAGGTTTTTAAAGTTGAAATTTCCAAACCTTTAAAACTGTAGAATAATTTTAGGAAGACCTACATAGTTAGGAGTCATCAGGACAGCAGTGATAGTTGAACACATATGGATAGAATGGATAAGTTGTCAAGGCAGATTTTTTGTTGAGATGAGCAGAGAATGCTTATGGTAGCCAGGGAGAGAAACATCATTGGTAATTAATACAAAAAAACCCAAAACTGTTGTCCTCGTTCATTAGCTTTGACCTTGTCCTCCTTTTTGAAGAAAAGGGTCTCCGATAACTGTTCATTACAGTCAGAAGCTAGTCCATGGCCGGCACACTGACTGCGCACTCATTGCCACCTGGTTTGGTGGCTGCCTGACTTTGTCCTTTGGGCACCTGCCACCCACTCTGCTTGGCTGCTCCACCTGTGGGTTCCCTGCAGCTTGCAAGCTGTGGATTTCAGGAGCACAACTACATGGTGGGAAGGTCCCGGTACCAGTGGCACTTAATGCGTATTTACCCATCTGATGTTTGCTTGGTTTGTGGAAGGCAAGATTGTCCCTAATTATGCCACTTAAAAAATATATAATTTTTAAATTTTTTAAAATTACATTTGACATACAATATAATAATAGTTTCAGGTGTACAACAGTGATTAGACACTTTTATAACTTATGATGATCATCCCAATAAGTCTAGTACACACCTGACACCATAAATAATTATTACAATATTATTGACTGTGTTCCCTATGCTGTACTTCACATCCCCTTGACTATTTTTATAACTGCCAATTTGTACTTCTTAATCCCTTCCCCTTCTTTACCCAGCTCCCCAGCCTCCTTTCACCTGGCAACCATTAAAATGTTCTCTGTCTCTATGAGTTTGTTTCTGTTTTGATTGTTTGTTTATTTTGTTTTTTAGGTTCTCCATATAAGTGAAATCATATAGTATTTGTCTTTCTCTGTCAGACTTATTTGTCTTAGCATGATACCCTCTAGTTCCATCCAAGTTGTTGTAAATGGTCAGATTTCACTCTTTTTTATGGCTGAGTAATGCTCAATAGTTTATATACCACTTTTGTACCTGTTTGTCTGTCGATGGACACTTAGGTTGCTTCCATATCTTGGCTATTGTAAATAATGCTGCAATGAACATAGGGGTACATACTTTTTTTGAATTGGTGTTTTGGGTTTCTTTGGATAAATACCCAGAAGTGGGATTGCTGGATTATAGGGTAGTTCCATTTTTAATTTTTTGAGGAACCTCCATACTGTTTTCCATAGCGACGGCACCAATCTGCAAGCCCACCAACAGCGCATGAGGGTTCCCTTTCCTCCACATCCTCTCCAACTCTTGTTGTTTGTTGATTTATTGATGATGGCCATTCTGACAGGTGTGAAATGATATTGTGGTTTTAATTTGCATTTCCCTGATTAGTGATGTTGAGCAATTTTTCATATGTCTATTGGCCATCTGTGTGTTCTCTTTGGAGAAATGTCTATTCAGGTCCTCCGCCCATTTTTTAATCAGATGGTTTGTTCTTTTGTTGTTAAGTTGTAAGAGTTCCTTATATTTTGGATATTAACTCCTTATCAGATATATCATTGGCAAATATCTTCTCCCATTTAGTAGGTTGTCTTTTTGTTTTGTTGATGATTTCCTTGCAAAAGCTTTAGTTTGATGTAGTCCCATTTACTTATTTTTTTCTTTTGTTTTCTTTGGGGAGACACATCCAAAAAACTATTACTAAGAGCAATGTCAGAGAGTTTACTGCCTATGTTTTCTTCTAGTTTTATGGTTTTGGGTCTTCCATTTAAGTCTTTAATTCATTTTTAGCTTATTCTTGTATGTGGTATAAGAAAGTGGTCTAGTTTCATTTTTTTGCATGTATCTGTCAAGTTTTCCCAACACCATTTATTGAAGAGACCCATCTTTACCCTATTGTATGTTCTTGCCTCCTTTGTCATAGATAATTGACTATTTATAGACATGGGTTTATTTCTGGACTATGTATTCTGTTCCATTGATCCATGTGTCTGTTTTTATGCCAGTACCATGCTGTTTTAATTATTGTAGTCTTGTATTATAGTTTTATATCAGGTAGCATGATACCTCCAACTTTGTTCTTCCTCAAGATTGTTTTGGCTGTTCAAGGTCTTTTGTGCTTCCATATAAATTTTAGGATTATTCTAGTTCTGTGAAAAATGCCACTGGTATTTTGACAGGGACTGCATTGAATCTGTAGATTGCTTGGGTTTGGACATTTAATGCTGTTAACTCTTCCTATCTGTGAGCACCATTTAGCTTTCCATTTATTTGTGACTTCTTCAGTGTCTTATAGTTTTCTGAGTATAGGTATTTTACTTTCTTGGATAAATGTATTCCTAGGTATTTTATTCTATTCTTTTTGATGCAGTTGTAAATGGGATTGTTTTCTTAACTCCTCTTTCTGATAGTTTGTTATTGGTGTATGAAAATGTGATTGATTTCTGAATATTTTGTATCCTGCTTCACTGAATCCATTTATTCTAATAATTTTTTGTTGGAATCTTTAGGGTTCTCTGTAGTATCATGTCATCTGCAAATAATGACAGTTTTACTTCTTCCTTTCCAATTCGGATACCTTTTATTTCTTCTTGTCTGATTGCCGTGCTTAGGACTTTCAATACCGTGTTGAATAAAAGTGGTGAAAGTGGACACCCTTGTCTTGTTCTTGATCTTAAAGAAAAAGCTTTCACCTTTTCACCATTGCTTATGATGTTAGCTGTGGGTTTGTCACATATGGCCTTTACTACCTTGAGGTATGTTCCCTTTATCCCCACTTTGTTGAGAATTTTTATCGTACATGAGTGTTGGGTTTTGTCAGATGCTCTTTCTGCATCTGTTGTTATGATCATGTGCTTTGTATCCTTCATTTTGTTGATGTGGTGTATCATGTTAATTGCTTTGTGGATGTTGAGCCACCTTACATCCCAGGAATAAATCTCACTTGATCATGGTTTATGATCTTTTTAGTGTATTGCTGAATTCGGTTTGCTAATGTTTTGTTGAGGATTTTTGCAAACGCTTTTGTTAGTAGTGATCAACTTGTCCAGATTTTTTTTGTTTCGTCCTGATTCAGTTTAGGGAGATTGTGTGTTTCTAGGAATTTATCCATCAGACAATCTGGAAAGATTGTCCAGCTTGTTGGCATATAATTGTCCATAGTATTTTCTTATAACCCTTTGTATTTCTGCAGTGTCGGTGTCACTGCCCTTTCATTTCTGATTTCATTTATTTGGGCCCTCTCTTTCTTGATGCATCTGGCTAAAGGTTATTAATTTTGTTTATCTTTTCAAAGAGCCAGCTCTTGTTTTTTTTATTTTTCTTATTTTTTAGACTCGTAGGTTTTGTCCTTCCGATCTTTATTATTTCCTTCCTTCTACTCACTTTGAGCCTTGTTCTATTTCTAGTAAGGTTGTTTATTTGAGATTTTTCTTGATTTTTGAGGTAGGCCTGTATTGCTGTCAATTTGTTTCTTTGAACTACTTTGACTGTGTCCCATAGATCTGGGGTTGTTGTATTTTCATATCCTTTGATTTCTTCCTTGAACTCGTTAACCCATTCGCTCTTCAGTCACACATTTTAGTGTCCATGTTGTTTGTATGTTTTTAAAATTCCTTCTTGTAATGGATTTCTAGTTTGTACCATTGTGATTAGAATAGATGCTTGGTATTTCAGTTTTGTTAAATTTATTAGGACTTGTTTTGTGGCCTAACATGTGGTCTGTCTCTCTGGACAATGTTCCATGTGTGCTTGAAGAGATAGTATATTCTGCTGCTTTGGGGCGAAATGTCCTAAAAATATCAGTGAAGTCCACCTGGCCTAAAGTGTCATTAAGGCCACTGTTTCCTTGTTGATTTTCTGTCTGGAAGATCTGTCCATTGGTGTCAGTGGGCGATAAAGTCCCTTATTACAACTATTACTGTCGGTCTCTCCCTTTATGTCTGTCAGTGTTTGCTATATGTATTTAGATGCTCTTACATTGAGTGTGTAGATGTTGACAAGTTATATCCTCTTGTTGGATTGATCCCTTTATCATTATGAAATTTCCTTCTTTGTCTCTTGTTACAGCTCTTGTCTTAATATCTGTTGTCTGGTACAAAGTATTGCTTCCCCAGCATTTGTTTTTTCCGTTTGCATGAAATATCTTTTCCTGTTCCTTTACTTTCAGTCTATGTGTGTCTTTTGATCTACAGTGGGTCTCTTGTGGGCAGCATGTGTATGGGTCTTCTTTTATCCATTCAGCCAGCCAGCCTTTTGAATGGGGCACCTACCAGTGCTTCCATTCCTGGAGAGAGCTGCTTAAACCCCTGCCCCTCCATTTCTCACCCCGAAGTTAGTTTAGCTCCTCCCTGTGTGCTCCTGGCACTTCTTGGGCTGCTGCCTCTGTGCTGGAGCCCAGAATGGGTGAGTCTGTGCGCCAGCCCTTTAAGTGGAACATCTGGGGACTCCATCCTTCCTCCACCTCACTTGGGTGCAATCCCACCGATTTTCACAGGCAGAAGTTACGGAGAATTTTCTTCCTGGCACTGCTGCCCTGGGCTGGGGAGCCTGGTGTGGGGCTGAGACCCCTCGCTCCTCGGAGGAACCTCCACAGCTGAGACGTCCCTCCTGGTTCTTAACCACCGCACCGCGGATGTGGGGCCTGTCTGTTCCGTGTCTCCATTCCTCCTACCAGCCTCCACGTGGCTGCTTTATATCCTTAGTTACAGGACTTCTGTTCAGCTCGTCTACAGGTGGTTCTCAGTGGCGGTGGTTCTATAATTTGGATGTAATTTTGATGTGCTCCTGGGAGGAAATGAGCACAGCATTTACCTACTCCTCCATCTTGACTGGAAGTTTTAGTCATGCCTTTTTTAATCAGTTCTTTTCTATCAGTGAAACTTTTAATTTTTAAAAATTAATCATCAATTTTTTTCTATAACACAGTAAAAGTTATTTCTTTTACTTTCTAAGAGCTAACTTAACCACAATGTGTGGAGCAGTCACAACTGTACTTGAAGCCCATGCTTGCTGGTTCTTAGTTGTGTTACTTGATCAAGTTACTCGATACCTTAGCTTCAGCTTTCTATTCTGTGAAATGGGGACAATAACGCATCGTAGGGTTTTTGAGAGGACTGAAATAAAGTACATAAAGTCATTTGTTACTTAGTAGGCGCTCGGTTCATGATAGTAGCTGCTAACTGTCACGTTGGTGACAGTTTTAGCAGAATTTTAGATGCTCAGCCTCATCTTCCTCTTTATTTTCATGCAAGAACTTTTTTTTTTTAATGTGGCATATCCAGGATTTTATTTTAGTTGTTTGCAGGCCTTTGTGAGTCTGATGTGTGTCTGTTAGAAATGCACATTGCATACAAAGAATGAACACAATTGTTTTGTTTTAGGAATTCCTTCCTTTCCTCTCTGATTCTTGCTGTACGTTGCACCAGCTTTATCTTCAGATACACAGGTAAGAAGAATACCATGTGATTATTAAAATAGAACAGTGCCATTGGAACCATTTTAAAATAAAAGTCACTTTTCTTAATGTTTTAGTTAATTTTTATTTGCTTGCTTCAAATAGTTGGAGATGACAGCTTTTAAAATATAGCTTCCATGAGAGTTTTCCTTACCTTCATATTCTTTACCGATACCTTATACCTGAGTGATGAATAGTTAGTACAGTGATAAACACCAAGGCAAAAAAAAATGGTTATATATATATATATGTATATATTTTCTGTTGGCATATTGTATTTGTTAATTTTTATTTTATGCGATTTAAATTAAGTAGTAGTTAACTCCGTCTTAGAAAAATGAATTCCAGAGAAGTATCATAATTTCGATAGGGGCTAAGTGACATTTGAAATTGACAGTTACCTTAGAACAGCACTCAATCTGACACTAAAATAATCTATCAACTCATTTATCTAACCACCCTCTTATGTCTCCCTAATTCATTTAGTTTCCTAGACAACCTTTTTATACCACTCCCTCTTCAAACTTCCTGTATTTCTAACAGCTTTAACCAGTTCCTCATGTCAGTGTCCTCACTTTGTATGTCACCGAGAAAAATGGAAGCAACTGGAAAAGAGCTTCCGTGCACTCCCTCCAACACATCAACTGTTCTACCTGGATTAGGCCCCTATCCCCCTTTGTTGCCATGAGTGAGGTATGTAAGGCCAGCCTCTCCATTTATGCATTTAATTCCACCTTTCACACATGCTCAGGGCCCTCTCTCTGATACCTCCTCGCACGTGCTCGGGGCCCTCTCTCTAATACTCCTTTCCTCCTCGCGTCATTAGTCTGCCCTCTCTGTTGGGAGGTGTTTGGAGGAGGATGCCGAGTTGAGAGATTTTGTTTGTTCTGGATTTTTCTTAAGACAGGAAAAGTAGCAGCATGTTATTTAGTTCTGAGCTTCTTTATATGATTATGGTATCAGTTAAGTCCTTTGAATTTTGTTTTATAAAACATACTTATTCACTTATTCTTGATATATTTTCACTGCTAGAAGAACATCAGTTAGAAGGTAGCTATTAATGAATTTTTCCCTCTCTCTTTTCAGTCAGTTTCCTCCAAGCCTGTATGCTGCCAGGATTTCTAACGCCCAGCAGGAGGAAATAGCGGGGGCGTTCCTGGTTACACTGGACCCACTCATCAGCCAGCTTCTCGCCTTCCCACCTTTCGTGCACGTGGTGTTGGACAGTAAACGAGGTAAGCGCCAAAGGGTGCAGAGTTAATGTTAGAGCACCCTTATCAGTGATGACGTTAGAGGCAGGGGTATCTTTCCTTATGTAGTTAGGTTTTTGGGTTTTTTTTAAGTTTAGAAAGTTTTATTTAAAATTTTTTCTACTTCTTTTTGGAGCATACTTCTCATTTTAAAAAATTATGTTTCTAATTTCTTTACATATCACAATCAGATTTTTGCCGAAAATATGTAGGGTATGTTTTTACCAGTTTGTTGTATCATAATTACTGTGTTTTTATTGCTGGTTAAGAGCTGCCCTATGAACTACAGTTCCCACAATGCCTACTGCTGGTTGTCATCATGGATAAGCTGCCCTCTCAGCCCGAGGACGTGCAGACTCTGTGGTGCACAGAAAGCCAGGCCTCAGAAGCTCCAGCCAGGTGACACGTGTAGTTTATATCCAATCACATATGGATGGTTTAGAATGGCCTATTGTTGGGAAGGTTTTGAAATGAAGTTTTTTGTTGTGTCAGATATTCTAGTTAATAATTACTGTGTAGACCTCATATATATATATATATATATATATATATATATATATTGTTACTTTAAAAAGAGAGAAATATAAAATATACATCTATAGATGCTAAAAATATTTTAATTTTGTTCAGCGTTTCAGGAGGTATTGCCTAATAGCGTTATGCACATTGAGTGTGACAGGGTGGGTGTAGTTAGTTACTTTTGGAAATGAGCTCTGACAAATAGGATGCTAGAGACTGCAAGTTATGTCCTGGAAATGTCCCTTGTACTCACCCTCCTTCCCGTCGCCAAGCTCCAAGTTCCTCCTCCCTGGGTTACTGCTATGCTTTAATTTTCACCTCTGCTTTAGCCCGCTCTGTGTACCTCTAACAGGTCAGCCTCCCTAAAGTCCTCTCCCAGCTTCCTGGTCTCCTGCTCAGAAGCTAAAGCATCATATCAGGCCTCCTCCTGTCCTTACCCTTTCGCTCATTTTCTGAACAGACACTGGCTTTTGTCAGCCCGGTTATTCCATTTGTCTTTTCCTCATGCTTTTGTCATCTTTACCTACTCATAGCTTGTCTATTTCTCATTTGTTATTTAAATCCTCGATAAAGATTGCTTAAACCATTTCAACCATAAAATGATCTCTCTCTGTCAGAACTATAATATTTGCTATTTGCTATCTAAGCTATTTAAATATCAAGTTCCTTGATCAGTTTTGTCTCTGACTTTGTATAGTTTAGTACTGTGATAAATACTGGGTAAATGATAAAAAATGTACAGGGAAATTCTTGTCCTTCAAGGAATTTCTCTAACAGTGACTGTATTTTATGTTTACGTTTACATATTCACATATTGGAAATATATATCTCTTGAGACGTTTTGCTTTGCTAAAACAACCCTTGATATGTTTTATTATTATACCTGCCAATTATTAAACATTAATGACATTGGGTTCAATGTTTTCAATTTTCCTGCAGGGTGTCACTTCTCAAAGCCATTTTCGACAGTTTTGAGCAGTGTTCCGGGGAACTCTCTCTGCCTGTTCGTTTACAGGAAGTGAAGAGTGGAGGGCAGGCCCAGGCTGCCGTCACCTTGTATCAGCACGTCTGCGTTCACCTGTGTACATTTATTACTTCCTTCCAGCCCTCACTCTTTCCTGAACTGGTGCGTTTGTTGCTTGCTGAGCTGAGGTTATGCTTTTGCTTTTCTTTTTTTTAATTGAAATTGTGATTTATATACAGAAGAAAGTGTGGGGATAGTTGATGTATGTTCTTTTTAAACGTCATTCTCTCCATTTTTACATCTTACCCTTTAACTCAGTTGTGTCCTAGGAAATTGTAATCCCAGTGTCTTATAGTTTTCAGATGTAGTATTTAGCTAAAATATTTGAGAAAACATTTTGGGTGGGAAAGTATGGAAAGAATATGAAGAGAGGAAAAATGTGTGGATTTTACCTAATTCGGTTTCATAAAGAAAAGAAGCAAATAGTATGTAGTACCAACTGTAGATCTTAGGCATAATGTAGATTTGGTTTTTAATGGAATCAGATTAGAAAAGATGTTGAGGAAATTCTACGGAAAGAAATTCTTAGAATTTACATAAGGATCAGTATCATTTAAAATATTATACAGTGGATAATATCCAGCCATATTAAGTATTGTATTTGAATAGGTAAAGGCAGAAACAAAAGTCTAGGCTTATGTGTTATGTACATTGTTTTAAAGGTTTCTGTACTTAGAGAATTTTTGTGCATCCTAGAGATCAAGTTTCCATGTTTAAAAGCACTCGAATTCCCACGGCCCAGCTCAGTGCTCGGTGCAGTGGGGCTGAGTAAGTGCTGAGGGAGTGATAACATGGGGTCTTTTAGATACTAGGAAGCCGAGCCTTCCCACTGAGGCTCGCTTGTTCTTTGGGTCGTGATAGTGTTCTGTTTTGAGAAATGCAGCATTAATGATAATTGGTCATGAACTTGTTTTCGTTAGGATGCTGCTCTGTTGGGTGCTGTGCTGAGAGCTAACATGATCACCTCCTTGTTAGCTATGGACGCGTGGTGCTTCCTTGCTCGGTACTATGTACTTCTTTGTTTTGGGGGATTGATTTATAGGACTAAATGATTTTATACTTGTAAGTTTAGAGGAAAATGCTGTCTCAATAATTTTTCATAGCCCCCCCAAAATGGACTGATTTCATAGCACAGTACTAAGTTAGGACTGGGTTCCCTCTTTTTTTGGTTTAAGTCAGTAGATCACTGTTGCTTGGCTAGTTTTGTATATTGTGATATTCCCTGGCCTTGGTAGTAACTGCAGTTTAGAATACTTAGTGCTTTATGGAAGGTGGTCTCCTTGCTTGTCTGAGTAATTGTGTAAGTAACTGTATAAAGATTGCTCCTCTTTCCCGCAGATATGGGACCGCCGAGCTCTGTGCACACCACGTCACCGTAGTGGCTCATCTGGTGAGTAGTCACAGGCTGAGACGCCCACTTTCCGTGAAGTTCCTTTGGAGATATGATGATCTTAAAGAAAGGAAATGTCCAAAGGAGAAGTACAGGCTAGCTACACTGTTTTTGACAGTTTCTTTGCTCTGCACTAATACTGATGCTAGAAACAGTGTAAAACTGGAGAAAGTGTCTCAGATTTTTCAAAATTTTATAGAGTTCCATTATTCTGGGAAAGAAAGACTCATGGAGGATAAATTTAAAGTTGAATACAAAGTAGAAAATAAGAAAAGTTCGTTGTAATATTGATGACCAAGAGTTCTCTTCCTCTCTCTCCCTCTCTCTCACCTTCTCTCCCTCTCTCTCTCTCTCTCCCCCTCTCTCTCTCTTCCTCTGTCTCCTTCTGTTCTCTCTCCTTTTAATATGATTTAGACAAGCTGACTCTTGGTTTTATTGTATCTGCTTCAGTCAGGATGATTGGAGAAGGACTAAATGTGACAGTGATAGATGCCTTTTGGGAAAAGAAATAATGCTTTGGAATGAGTACAAAGAGAAAATTATTTAATGATGATTTTAATCTTCAATGTTGACCTGTTTTTAAGTTCTGAGATATTCCATTTAAGATGGTCATGACGTATTTGTTGAGTTTTGTTTTCGGCCTTTGATAAAGATCCTATGTGACTCCATGTGTCTTATTTCTTAGTAGTTATTGGTTCATGTATTTATTGGTTTACCTTTAAAGGATGCTGTAGACTAAACGTGGTGAGGTGTGTCTGACATTCATGTCTCTATGGCTGATGGTCTCAAGTGCTTACCTACTAAATCCTTAACACATCTTGCACAAAACAGATAAAGAGTGGTTTTTATGTTATGTGTATTTTGTCTCCTTTAAATGTCCTAGTACATTATGATAGGAATTGATTTCCAGAAAACCAAGTCTGTAAAACCTTTAATGCTTCCATCTGGTAGAGTTCTATCCACCTCTGCGCCACTGTGCTTAGATTTTAAAAAATTCCATGAATTGTCTTTGAGTATCAAGTTATCAAAATGGTAATTAGAGATAGATTCCAAAGTGTTGTGAAAATTATTTTCCCATTATAAAAGTAATCTAGGTTCATGGAAGGAAGAAATGTAAAGAAAAGCTCCAAATTAAAAATTAAAATTGCCTATAATCTTGTCTCCCAGAAAGGGCTACTGTTACTTCTTCCGCGTACAAAAGCTTGTAGAAGCCATGGTTTTAAGTCAGCCCATCTCTGCTTTCTCTCCTGTCGTTTCCCAGATAAAGTCTTGCCCTGGAGAATGTCACCAGCTCACCAACCTGTCTGTGCTGTTGAGGCGTCTCTTCTTCTTCATGGCCCCACCCCAACAGGCAAGTGTCCCTGTCCCTGTCCTGGGGAGGATGCCGGGGGTTGGATTCAGACTTGTGAAGTCCCCACCCCATTTATTCTACATTTAAATGTTGACATGATCCGAGCTGAAATTTTTCATGTATTGATTGCTTAGTTTATTGCTTTTTGATGAGTTAGATTTTGACGTTAAAGACCAGAGCTGCACAGTAAGTAAAGTGGTAAAAGCCGATTTTATTCCAGAACTGTTATGACGGGGAAAGCGACCTGGGTACAGCTGGCTCAGTTCTGAACAAGCACGGACGGTGAGAATTTACATGCAAGGGGGTCAATGGATGGAATTGACTAGGAGGAAACATCAGGGCTGAGGGGGTGATGTTTGCTAAACTGATCTGCTGAGCACAGACCAGGTGATGAGACACCAGGGGAGGGATTCTTTCTAAGCAGACCGAGCAGGACTAACTGGTTGGTGCAGGCCCGGCAAGGATGGACTCAAGGCCAAGGTCGAAGGCTGGTTGGCAGGAGGGCTTAGAAGAGCCTGCCTTAAGTCTGCTCAGGAGAGCCTTTGTCAGTGTGCTTGCTGCAAGTTACAGATAAACATTCTGACTGTTTTCCGAAACACCTTCCCTTGTTTCTCAGACACTTAAGATACTTGAGATGGTTCCGTAACCCCTGCCCTTTTTAACTAATTTGAAGAGCTGGAAAATTTATGCCCTTAATGATGTCTCTTATTTTTTTTTATAGTAAAGAAGTTTAATGTTTAGGGGAAAAGTGAAAGTGTAACAAGCCTCAGTTATAAAATAGGAATAAAATTATCCTTTCCCAAGGTGGTTGTGAAAATTTAACTTCAAATACAACTCAGAACAAAGTAGCTCTAAGTGAGGCCTAGAAGATTTTTTATAAACAAACTCTGTTTTTAGACATCTTCCTTATTTCTCAGTTTTCTAAATTTTCCACAACAATTGAGGCTGTCTGGTATGTACATAAGTAATGGATAAATGAGGAGTTACTTTGAATTTTTTCTTTCAGTTATCAAATACTGATTTCCTGCCATGGTCAAGTTACTGTTCTAAAATTTAAAATTAAGGGACACACCTGAATTTGAATCCCCTCGTGAGGGTCCTTGGGAGAGTCAGTCCTTAGATTGATACGAATGTTCAGATGGCAGCTGCGAGCCTGGAGGCTGTGGAGGCCGCGTGCGTGCATGACGTGAGCACGTGACAAGTGTCAGCTGTGCCCGTTCAGCTGCTTCCTTTTCCCTCAGGACACCATCCCCTCTCAGAGGAAGGAGGTGGAGATGGATGTTTTTTGAGACTGTTATATGGACTGGGCTTTGTATTGGGTTGTTGGAAAATTCATGACGTATTGTTTCAATGTTTTTCGTTGCAAAAATACGTCATGACTTTTACTAGGCACTTGAATTCTTTGTTCCTTACATCAACCTTCTGGGAGAGGTGATATTTCCATTTTACAGATGAAAAAACAGTAACTCGGAAATTAAAGAACTTCCCCAAACTCGCCATAACAAACAGTGAAGCCGGGGTGCAGAGCAGGTCTGGTCTGCCCAAAAGCCCGTGCTGTCCCCTGTGCCACTGTCTTTTCAGCCGTTCTCCACTCAGCTCTTCCCAGGGCTTCCTGTTTGTGGGAGGTCCACCCTGCCTCCTTGTCCCCACGAACTATAGGAAGTCTGATTTTATTGTTTAGACATATAAAGCTTGCTCATAAGTGAATTTTTAATAGTGTTTTGTTGCTTAGAATAAAAATTTGGAAACCACATATATCATGACATCCGAAGGAACGTGTATCTAGTAGAAATTATAAATTTATAGAAATAATACAAGGTGGTACGTGGTGAGTTCCAAAATAGGCACAGATCCAGTTTTGATGTGTGTTCATAGCTTACAAGATCATTTCTGGGAGGTGCGCTTGGGGACAGGTAGGAACACGGGAGTCCTTGGAGATACTGGCTTTGGAGGTACATTCAGATGGATGCATGAAAATGGGAGGGAGGTGGTGGGACGGGGACAAAGGCAGGGAGGCACATGCTAGGGAAGACAGAACAAGCGGCAGAGAAGCTGGAAATTATTCAGCTCATTTGCATACCAGAGGGGGTCCTTTTAAATAGTGAAGTAAAAACCCAGATTTTGTATCAGTGCTGCGGCACTGAAAACTGAATCCCAGTACAGTGATATTTTACGTAAAAAATAAAAGGTGTCTGTGATAATAATTTTGGGGAAAATGCCAGTATATAGGGACATTACAATGTGTTTGCTGTTTTATATGGAGAGTAATTATTGAATATTCTCTTTAGTGTGTAACTAACTGTTAATAGTATTCCTGTTTTATAGAAACAAGCAAAAGTACAAGGTTACCTAGCTGGGGGGAAAGGATTTAATATACCTGATTTAACAAACACAGTGATAATTGTGCTACCATTTCTATGTGAAGTAAAAATTACTATATTTATTTGCATTTTATGCCCACTGGTTTATCTTTTTATCCTCAATTTTAAGGAAAATCTTAATTCTCTGCGTGTTAATCCCTAAACTCTTTGTGAGCTATTGTCAGCACTAGCAATTTAAAGTCTTTAAAATTTGTGTTGAGATGAGGGTTTTCAAACTTAAATAGTGAATAAGTAAATCACTCTTTCTATGTAATGAATTTTGGCAGCACTTAACCCTTTTGTGTTGTCCAAGCGTTATTATTTATCGTTTCTGTTTGGGGAAAGGGTTCAATGGACTTCATTGAGCATGACCTGATGCTCATGAGCTGGCGCAGTGCTCCTGGCTTTCCTGGTGCAGTTTGGTTTCATGACGAAAGCTGCTTCTTGTAACAGACACAGGGCTTGTCGGGGGACCCCGTTTCTCTGGCTTCTGCAGCCGCCCTGGAAGATAACCACGTGATTTCTCCTTTGTTTGGACAGTTAACTATTTTCTGCAAACAAAATAAGATTCAAATATAAATACTGTGACATAGGAAAGCTTCTCTGTCAAATTTAATATGGTGGGTTTTTTCATTTTTGATACAGGAAAAATTTTCATTTAACAAGTTGATTTTGGATATTGTGAAATAAATTATTCTACTACTTTAAAAATTACATTAATACACTTCCTAGTTGGATTACACTTAATTTAGTAATTAAGTGCACCATTGTTTTTGCTGTTTTTCCACCAGAAGCAAACATTTTAACTATCTTTGTAGAACTTTTGTTTCCCCTTTTTATCTAGTCTGTTGACACTTCATTTTAACTAAACAGTACAGTTTTCCTGTTAACCTGTCAAGCAGGCACTTCGAATTGTTATTTCAGTGGTGGAATGGGTGTGCCAGGCATGCGGTGCTAGACTGGTGCCTCACGTTCAGAGATGAGCTCCGTGTGCTGTCTGTCTGAAGCACAGCAGAGCCAGCGCACCCATTAGGGCGCTGACCTGGCCCGTTACTTAGTGCATCTGTTGTGCTCCACCTAAACTGTTTTTCATTTGAAAACAAACGCAACAACAACAAAAATAATGCTTGTTCCTTTAAGTTGCCTCCATCCCGTTCCTTGTGATTTTATTATATTCAACTAAAAACTTTAAAAAAATATTTAACATGGAAGCTCTTATTAGCTTTTGTGCATCCATCCATCACACTGTCTTATGTTACTCTTGTTTCTTTAACAATTTACTTCAGATGGAGTTTATCCAGAAATTTCCCCCCAAAGAAGCAGAAAATCTGCCCCTGTGGCAGTGTATTTCCTTCCAGGCGCTACCTGCTGAGCTGAGGAGAGAAGCTGCCCAGGAGGTCAGCAGAGTAGGGGCCGCGCAGTGCAGGAGGTGGCTAAGCAGCGGCCGCTCGCTGGCGGAGCTCGACTCTCTGGTAAGGAGCAAGGCTGACGGATGCGATGCCCTCAGTAGCTGCTGACTGAACACCGTTTTAGGAACTGGGGATGCGTTGTGATAGGTCGACACAGCCTGTGCCCTCAGGTTAGAACCTCGCAGGATTTTCCTATTTCTCCATTGTAAAAGGGTCTGTAAGAAACTCCCTATGATCTCCGTTGATGTGAATGACATTGGTGGGGGTGTCTGAAGCCTATGACACATTGGAGCAACGAGGCACATCTGAAATACTTCATTTGCAGCATTTTTGCTGACACATCTCTGGGTTAGGCAGACACATTCTTCTCTTTGACAAAATACAACCCCCTTTTTATGAAAACCTACTTTGAGCCTTTATGTACCTTTCTAGTTAGACGGTTCCCTTTTAAAATAATGGAATAACAAAGAAATTCATCTGTAAGAAAAAATATATAATTTTGAAAAATTGACTGTCTTTAGTACATGTAGTTGAATTTTCCAGTTTAGTGTCCAGTTTGCTCATTAAGTTATTCATTCAAACATATTTGGAGTGCTCCATGTGCCAACTCTGTTCTGGGCATTGGGGATATATCAGGGAACAAAATACAAAAATTCCACCTCTCATGGATTTACATTCTAGCTTAGCTAGACAGTAAAATAATTAATAAATATGTATATCGGTCTGTGATAAGTGGAGGAAAACCAAACAAGGATGGGGACAGGGCACTCAGAGGGTTGGGGGCCTCTTTGCAGTTTTAAATTACGAGTTCAAGGTTTTCTTGGGGCTTGTATTTCCACACTGAGTGTGAATGTTCGATACTGTTATGTTATAGCGCTTGACTGTAATTATCAAGATAATTTAAAACATTTACATATAGCCAAAAGAAATAGAATTTATGTGCCTTTATTTTGGGAAAACTTTTAAATGCCTAGTTAGGAGGTTAAATTGTTCAAGTTTTGAATTTATTGTGCACTAACTTCTGTAGTAAAGACAAAAGAATCTTTATATTAGATAAAATAAAATAAAAGCACCTGTTTTCCACAGCTGAATAAATCTTTGATCTACAACCAAAATTTAGTTTGACTGGTCATGTAACATGTTTATTTGTAAAAGGAGATAGGTAAACCTTAACCAAAAAGCTGTACGGTGATTCCATAAAATGAATTGGTTGTTGACTGCAGTGGATCAGAGGTGCTGTTACCATCCTGCCACCCTCACAGGGCCTCCCCTTCACTTTCACCCAGTCCTGGCCAGAAGCAGAGATTTGATAACGGAGATAAGAGTGAATTCAGAAAAGACTGGTTTTAGTTTCAAGTTCTATACAGTATACTTCTTAATTACCTTATATGCTTATTGGATATAGTGTTGCTGAGGAATTTTAAAGATCAATTATAAAACAACAGAAACAATAATGTAATAACTTAAAAAGATTGCTAGGTGCATAATATGAAAAAACAGAATTTTTAGTTGACGAATATTATAAATTAGCTTGTCCATACTGACCGTTTGTATCAAACCTATTTATTAAAACACAGTGGTGTTTTCATTGTTATTAAATTCTCCTATTAAAAGAAAAAAAGTTTTGTGGTTTAGAAAAATGAAGCAAATGTTTGTGTGTTAAGGAAAATTAGTTTTAATAAAATATACTCATTAAAGAAAGAGGTGAAAAGATGGCTTTGGGTCTTGGAGTATAATTCTCCATGGCCTCCGTCCTTATGGGCCGCTCCTGCCCTCAGGGAAGGCCTCCCGCTCCTGGAGGCCGGTTTCCAAGCTCTGGACCTTCTGTCTTCCCTTAGAACACGGTGCTCTCTGCTCTGCTTGCTGTGTGTCATTCTGCTGGTGACGCTCTGGATGTGGGACAAGAAGTCGCAGTTGTGGAAGCTGGCAGTCGGCTGTGGGCTTTTCTGAACACTGACCTGGTAAGGAAAGCAGCTGGCCATCTCCCTGAGGAGCAAATCAGTGCTGAGAAGAGGAGTTCACGAGCTTCCCTGTGGAGCGAGGGGTCTGACCTCTCAGGGGCTGGGGAGGACTTGCGATTAGAACTGAAGAGCCACGTTTCTTCCCTTCCAGCCAGTTCTTTCTAGGTGTGATCGCGTTATATTAGTAAAAGTAGGACCTAGTGAAGAGGTACAGTCGAGCTAGCTGTTTTCATGGCCATTTGGGCTTCGTGTGCTTTTTTTGTTTGTTTTTCAGTCTCCTCCCATTATTGCTCTGTTCTGCCGGGTCCGCGTGGCCTGCTTTTGTCATTCTGGGGTCTTCTGTACCTTTGGGCTTAAAGGCGGAAGGAGCAAGTGAATGAATGAGGCTAGTCTGTGTCCCTCTTCCCGGCAAAGACAAATGCCAAGTGACGATCGGGCTAGAAGGAGAATGCTGTGTGTCCTGCAGGTTACTAGTTTGAAAATGATACGTAGTTTAAAAATCTATGACATTTGTTCTCGTTGACTGAATAGAAATAAAAATGTGGCCTCTGGTTGTCGCAGCCAGTGGCGCTGAAGGCAGCATTCACACTGGGAAATAGTACAGATGGTTTTGCTAGTGTTTTATTCCTGACGTTCACGTGTGGTCTCATCCCCTTCCACAGTGTTTCGACTTCAACAAGTGCTTTCCCTGATCCTCACAAATCGTTCAATAAATATTCACTGAGGAACTCTCTGCTGGTGACATAGCTTATAAGATCACGAGAAACAGTTATGGAGAGGAGAGACGGAGTCTAAGAGGACTCAGGGACAAGCTTTTCAGTGGCCGTCAAAAGCAGTTAGACCTCCACTCGGGTGCAGTCGGGTGCGAATCATGGCTCTGCTTTTTCTGGGCCATGTGACCTCACCTCTCGGCCCCTTATTAGTGAAGTGAGGATCTGCCTCAAGGTTTACAAGGCATAAGTGAGGTACTAAATGCAAAGCGCCTAGGTACACAATAAGGCTTGTTACAGGCTGCTCTGCACGTGTGATTGAGAATTCTCACCGACATTATTTTGCGTCGTCTTTAAGGTAACAAGTCAGCCTTGTGTTCAGTGGACACTCAGCCTGTTACTTCCACTGCTGGGATTGTTCATTCAGACCCTGGATCCTCAGCTGATCTGTCAGGTAAGCAGAGCGAGTAAACTGGGACTTCGCGGATGGAGGAAGCTGTTAATCTGGCGTAACTTGAAGTGACTTTCTAGAAACAGGCCTTTTAATGATTTGTTAGTTGGCTTGTTGCCCCTTTCTTGTTAAACTGCAGTAAAATGTCACAGGCCTGCTTGTCCAGGGAGGTGTCTTACTGTTGTTACTCTGCTGGGCTGTTCACGCAGCCTCTGGCTGTCCTCCCCTATCTCCCGGGAACTGAAGAGCCAAAACTGCCTCGGTGTTGCCGTCAGCTGCCCAGAGCTCCCCAGCCTAGGAGTCAGAGTTGGTGTGACCCTGCTTCACGGCATTTCCAGGGCCTTCCAGCCGCCCTGGGAGTGTGGCGCGTTCTCCCGTGGACTTAAGGCTGATTCTCGTGGTTTCTTTGAAAAAAATAAAATGCTTTTGAAGGCAGAGCATACGGACCTTTCCCGCTGGCCTCAGCTTGCACGGCCGGGACAGACAGAACTGGGGTTGTTGTCTGGGGGAGCCTGTGCGACGCCCCACCTTTGGAGGTTCAAAGCCGGGGGAGGGAGAAGAGGGAAAGGGCCTTCATCTTACCGGAAGCGGTTCAGAGTGAGCCCACACTGGACAGACTAATCCCCAAATCCAGAGTTGGCTTGTGCTTAAGGTCACATAAGAAACAAAGAAAACTGGTTATGAAGTGAAACTAACCCTGGCTGTGTAGGAGGCGATGGAAGAGATACCAGCCTGTTACAGTGTGTGGTGCCGAGTGGGGCTAGGGAAAGCTTTTAACGGCTCTGGTTAAGTGTTGGGTACATGAAAGTCTTCACAAGGACTTGCTAATTAGGTATTTTTTTAGTTGCTGTATGTGTAATGTGGATTACTGAATTATAAAGAATGAGATTACAGTAAAATAATTGACTCAAATTATATTGAATGCAATAATTTGAATTTGTTGATTCTGAAGGTTCTGATAGTTTTTGAAAAATTAAATACCAGTAATTTTGACATAATTGTGTCCACGTTTAAAAACCCAAATAACTGAAGCCCTGATATTTCAGCATAAGTACATTGTTCGTTTAGGCAGCGCTGCCTTTGTAGAAGACTTGATGTCATTGTTCCTGTAAGTCGGGTTGGCAAGCCATGGCCTCCTGCCTGGATTCCGCCTCCTGTTTTCAGCACAAGAGCTAAGGATGATTTTTACGTTTTTAAACGTTTGTAAAGTAACATAAAAAAAATAAAGAAGATGCTACAGGGAGCACGTTGCCTGCGAAGCCTAACGTAATTGCCACCTGGCCCCTTACAGAAAGTTGGCCAATCCTGCTAATAACAATGAGCTGCTCTCACTAGAATTTAGAAGAGCAAAGAATTCGTAAAGAATCGGAAGTGGAACACCCAGTCTAGGGCTCCTCAGGACCACTTTAAAATGTCAGTGGTTGGAGGCAGAACGCAGTAATAACTGACTCTCATCGGATTCTCCACCTGTGAACCTCAGGCTTCGTGGAGTGTATCACTGTTTTTAGGTTTTGCTATTTCCCCTCCTACATGCCCATCAAAATCTTAGGTAGTCGTCACGTCTCTGCAAAATACTTGTTTTTGTTTGTGACTCTGGTTTGGTCTTTGCCTGTCCAGGTGGTAACTCTGCAGGCCTCACTCCTTAAGGTAGAGCCTCCTGACCACGTTCGCTTGGCTATGCTGGATTTTGTGTCTTCTCTAGGAAAGCTTTTTATATCTCAGGATATCCAGGTAATACTATTAATTCTGTTCCTGTTATTAACAAAACTTAGAAATTACTGAGGGATTTTTACACTTTCAATTTCTGGAATTCTGCGGATTGTTGACTGAAAGTTGTGGGAGAATATATTTTGTGAGGAGAAGAGGGTGACTTTGTCAAAATAGAACTCATTTTAAGTTATTTCCTTTTAGAAAAATATCTGACATGTACAGAGTTGGCCGTAGTCGGAGATTCTCATTCCAATTGGGCCTTAGCAGAGTTCTGAGGAAGGGAGATGTAGGCATGGCTTCCGGGAACTGTGCACGGCGGAGATGGCGCTCCTTGGCGTCCCTTAGTTTCATGTCCTCGAGAGGCCGCCTGTTTGCTTTTACAGACGGTGTGTTGGAAGGTGTGGCCAGGTGGAGCTGACTAAGGGTCTTTATTTACGGAAGCGCAGCGAAGGGGCCTGCAGGGCCCTCTGCAGTGGAGGGAGGTCGCCCTGCTCGGCGGGGCTTGGCCTTCCGTTACTCTGGTCCAAAGCCGGCAGTTCCGGAGCTTTCTTCACCTCCATGGGGGAGAGCAGAGAGACTGCTGATGAGAGCCTTTTATGTGACTGAGCAGAACCATCACGGACGTTCTCTCAGCACATTGCCTGTGAATCCAGACGTTTAGCTGGTTAGGCCCTAAAGGGCTGTCCTGTTTGTTCACAGGGAAACGGTACCATTTGTTTGCATCATGTAAGGTTCTGTTTCATGATATAAGCGAGGATGTTGACAGCTTTTTCTCAACTCTGGACAAAAGTATCCAAAAATCCTTGCATTTAAGCTATATTTTTAGCATAAAATGTTTTCCAAAATGCTGCTGCTTTTAAGCCTTAATGGGCCCAGAACCTGAAGAACAGGTGTTTTTATTAGTAGAAATTACCGTATATACTCCCTGGAATAGATATGTATTTTCCCAGGAGTGAAGATAGGGCCTGAGGAAATTTTTGGGATTCATCAGCAAACGAGAGGCATTTAAAACCATGAGATGAGATTGACATGCACTCATTTAAGAAAAAAATTAGTCCTTGCTACATGTCAGGCGCCATTTCAATCACTGGGGATTCAAGAATGAGCTGAACTACTACGTCCCCACGCTCAGCCTGCTGAGAGGCGGCCGACTAAGAGTGGTTACGGGGTGCGAGCGCTAAATGAGGCAGGCAAGGGAGAATGTGACGGGGTACAGTTTTCAGTGGGGGTCCTCACCAAGGTGATGCGTGACTACGACCTGAAGCGGAGGGAACAAGCCATGCCGGCACTGGGGGAGACCCTCCGAGGTGGGAGCATGTCCCATGTGTTATATTACCGGTGCCGCGGACAGGTGGGGGCTGGCGGGCCAGTGCGAGGCTTGGGTTTTTACTCTGAGCATAGGAGTGACACGACTGACATTTTAATACGCGTTCCCTGGGACAGAATTATGGAGCCCTGACGTTAGGCGTATTGAATGTCCTCCTCTAAGACTTCCTCTGTTTAATAAGCGTTTGGCTCTCTTTTTAGGACACAATTCTGCCCAGCCTGTCGTCTGTTTTTGCCTCGCTGCTGGCTGACAGGAACTGGCTCCTGGAACAGCACGCCTTGGAGGCGTTTACTCAGTTTGCTGAGGTTAGACTGACCACGACATTTTAACATTTCAGGTATTCCAGAACATTCCGTGAACTGCTGCTGTATCTTCACCGTAAAATTTTCTGGTGATATGTTACTAATGTGTTTTTCAGGATCTAAAAATGAGGCAGAGAAACGCAGTGACTTTCCTAAGGCCCTGTGGGTAGTGACGGTGGGTCTCCTCACTCAGGCAGCCCTGCAGACGCCCTTTGGGCGGGAGGATATTATAACACGTCCCCTCAAACTCTTGGGCTCAGAGGTGAACACAGACCTGTTCGTTTGGTTCTGTGGAGAAGGTGACCCTGCTGTGAGCTGTCCTCTCATCACCCTTTGCTGCAGTCGTGTCTTTGGTCACAGAGGCCGTGACAGTAGGACGATAGCAGTAGAGCTCACAGCACTGCCCGCACAGAGCCCGTGTCACCTAAGGCGCCTGGAAGGAACCGCAAGCTGAGGTCCGCCAGGTGTCGTCTGACACCGAGCGTTGCTTCTAAAATACGCTTTTGATGAAGGCAGCCCTTATATTATAACTCACCTGTGCGTCTTGGCAGAGATGTTGAAATGTATTAAAATTGGTCTTGTTTGTCAATATTTTAATAGGGAACAAATCAGGAAGCGATAGTCCCACGGTGTCTCAGCTCTGAAGAAACTAAGAACAAAGTCGTATCCTTCCTGGAGAAGGTATATATTTTACAGTAGAATCAAAATAACACTGCCACTTACTTTGTTCTTCAGCATGTTACTTTTTTTGAAATCATGTCGTTGTAACAGGGTTGAGTCACTTCTCAGCTTAAATTTTTCACAGTGCTCAGCACGGTGACACACACGCAGCTGGTACATTACAAGTCACAGAAGTGACACACGTGGAGTCATCTGCCTGTATTTGGATCCTGTGGCAGTGGGATGATAGTGACCACACTGATCATAATCAGTCCTGTGATGACTGTCATTCAGATGTCTTTCAGGTCTGGCTCTTCTGCACGGACAGAGACCAAGACCTACTTTTCCAAACTGACGTTTTTAAAGCTGTTTTTGCAGTTAGAACCACACGGCTCCCACATGTGTGCATACTTAGAAACTTACACGGGGACAGTGTTAGGACGTAAATTAAGGGTTAAATGATGCACTAATAGAACAGTTAAACCACAGTGTAGACCACCAGCAAGAAGTGAATTCCAGCTTCCAGGATTTGTGTGGGTCACAGGCAAAGCCAGGAGTCGCACACTCAACCCCGAGTCCCACCGTTGGTTCGTCCTCCTGGTGGGGCCCACATGCTGACGTTTGCTTCGTTTTTCATTTGTGGCAGACGGGGTTTGTAGATGAGACTGCAGCTGCCAGAGTGGAACGTGTGAAACAGGAAAAGGGGATTTTCTGGGAATCCCTGGCTACAGTGACATTAGAAGTAGCCAAGTGGTCATCTCTACAGGTACGGACTGCCTTTCAATATGGGCCAGGCTTTCCTAAGAGACATTCTGCCCTTAATGATAAAAGCAAAACACACTAGTATGGTTCGTGGCCTCATGTTGAGTATCAAAATCATCAACTAGATCTAGACATGTAGTTTTCCTGTTTTATGGTAGCTGCCCTTTTTAAAATCACATTTCTTCTTTCTGAAAGGCTATGAACACGTAAAACAGGCGGGGCTACAAAACCTGCAGTTTTAAACATCGTACTAAATGTACTGTCAGGAGACCTCTCCATTATCCGTGGTCACCTTGGGGAAGGTCGTGTGTCTGTACCAGTGACGCTACAAATGCTCTTGTTTCTGACCCACAGAAGATGGTTAACTCCCAAAATGTTTAGTTTGAGCCCTCGCATTATTCATCAAACTAGCCTAAAAATTTGGGGCAGTGTTTGGAAATCACATCTACCTAAAAAGAAAAGTTTAAGTACATGTTAATGACTTGTTTTCAGGATATGTCACTTTTATGCCTGAAACGTAGGAAGTTACATATCTATCAGTAGTGTAAACAAGCCCCTTGGGAAGCCAGTGATCACATCAAGGGTGTGCTGGCCCTGGCCCCTTCGAGTACGGCCATGCAGGACAGCAGGAGTTTGCTGGCCCGGCTGCAGAGCATCTGAGACCACAGCGCTCACAGCGACAAGCTGAGCCCAGTTCATACCCGGGGCTTCTTCGTAGGGAACCTATTATAGGATATGTGTAAAGAGTACTCACTGCCGATTACTGCAGGGACAGCACTTCTTAGCGTCCTTGGCCACTACCGAATCCCTGTGACACCCAGATCCTTCATGTGCTTTTCCAGATCATTGAGGAGTAGAGGGTGCCCTCTTGCCTTGGGAACCAATGACTAGAATAAAATATGCACATACTTTTTTGCAGTTTTAGAATTTGTTCTGAAAGCTTTGCTCTAGTGCAAAAGGAATGTTCTCCCATCATTGTTGGAATGGGTATCATTACATCAATTATCCTACGTTCTTCTCCTTTGCAGCCTTACGCCAAGCGAGCCCGTGTGGAGTGCGCCGGGGAGGAGGAGTACAGGGCAGCAGTGCAGGCAGCCATAGGGGCCCTGGACGCAGTCGGCGTATTGCTGCAGAAGTCCCCTGCCCCAGACTGGCTTCCCACGGAGATGGAGCTGCTGCAGGAAAGGGTCGAGGCGCTGAAACGTCGGGTGCTCTAGGATGGAGCGTGACTGGACCGTCCTGTCGCTGGGTAGAACTGGGTATGATTTTTGTTCTTCTGCAATATATTTTGTAAATGAAACTCTTCACCCGATTATGTCTACACATTTTCTAACACATAAACAGCTTTACTGTAAAGTTGAATCTAGTGAAAATAGTCTTTATTAGGGGTTTAGAGAACAGGATCATGGGGGGATGTTTCTCATTAAGAACTTTGGTACAATGTCATACATGGGGACGGTCCCCCAGGGCCATTCACTCAGTACAACTGTAAACAAATAAATAAGCTGCCTAAGGAAACCATAGCATTTAAAATCACATACACTTTATAGCTAAAAATTTTTCAGTAAGTTGTATTTCCTCCTAACAGCTTACTCTTCTCACTGGTAAAGAAATGGCACAAAATTAAGCTAATCAGCTTGAATTTTTTTGTGTTTATTTTACTTCCAGAATTCTCCTGGAAAACAGTAAACTCAGGCTTTCCACAGCCACTTGCTCCCGCTGGAAGCTGGCCAGTCCAAGGCACGCGGGCGCTTCCCCGACGGCCCCCCAGCGAGCCGCCTGGGGCCCGGGGCTGCGCCCGCTCAAGGCTGCGCCTCGTTGGCAGACGGGGAGCAAGCTGCTGCCGCGGGCACAGGATGCTCTGAGCGCTCTCGTCTGCAGAGCCTGCTTCTGAGGTATTCGTAGTTTGGTTTTCCTGGCGTGTAACTCACAGCCGTTGTCACCAGCTGCTGTCTCCCCAGTTCAGCTCCCCTTCGTCTCCCCAGCCTTCAGACTCTGCCTGCAACGAGAGAAAGCAAAGCTGGCAGCCGTGAAAAGGCAGCCCAGCCCTGACAGGGCCGTAGTCTGTGATGACAGCGCCCGCTCCTCGCACTCAGGAAGGAGACCCGCTCGGCTGGGGAGCTGAGCGGGAGGCAGCGCCTTTGGGTCCCGTGTTCCACAACCACAGCAGCAGGGACCACACCGACCAGTGCCGTCAGTCTGACGACATCTCATTCCTGGTCTAACCCCGTTTCCAAGTGAAGGGGCTTCCTGTAACAAGTGGCCCACCGACCACTTAACCCGAACACTGCTGCCTTTTCTGGGGAAGGAAAGGTAGTAACACGAATGAATTTTACGCCCTTGATGCTTGTCTTGAGTGTTTTTACCAACTGTGGACAGTAGCCTGTCCCCTTGGTGGGACAGCAGCATGGTGTTGGTTAGAAAGGGGACACTGTAAGCCAGTAGCACAGTCTAGTAATTCTTACCTCAGTGATTTCTGCTGCAGCAAATTTTGAGGAAAACGGCATCAGTGGTGAGACCCCATCCTTGTTGGGGACCATCGTGTGTGTCCTCAGTTCAGGTAAAACAAGCACAGCAGCTGTGGGCTTAATTTCTGGGATCATATCAGCAAACCAGTCCAGCTCGGGGTCCGGCACCGGCTTACGTTTTACCTGAATGGTGAACTCCTCCCCCAAACCCAGTTCTGTGGGGGTCTTCAGGCGCCTTTCTTGTGACACTTTCGGGGGCCGGGTTGGGTCTGGGTCATCCACGCTCGGTGCAGGACTGATCTTATGGGGTCGGCTTGATTTCAGAGGCTTGGGCTCCTCTGTGAGTGGATGTGAAGTGGGGGTGGCCTTGTGCTCCCCTGAGGTGACAGGTGTTGACGCAGTGATCGCAGCTCCTGGTTTCGTTTCAGAGTCACCCCAAACCTCCACCACAGTCAAGTCAGCAAGTGGGGACCTGGCCGCGTCCTGGGGTTCCGGAGGCCAAGCCTGCGTGTTGCCAGCTTTGTTTTCGGGCTCCTCAGGCTCGCTCCAGTCAGGCCACTCCTCAGACGTTTTCGAGCTGGATGGCAAGTTGTCACTGTGTCCTGAGGTATTGTTCACATCTGAGAGTCCATTCATGGGAAATTTCAGGGGCTGAGAAAGCTGATCACCTGTGGGCACATGTGCAAGAATTACTCTCCTAAACGCAGGTTAAAAGCAAGAATATATTTAGGGAAAGAAATGCACAGATCGAAGTTCTCGGAGCCAGCCAGTGTGACCCTCCTTTGGTATGCTTTAGAAAATGCCGCCCTAAAGCATCCAAAGTCCCAAAGTAAATTATCTGGTAAAAAAAGAATTCAAGTAATATCAACCTGCTTTCTCCCCAGTTATGTTCCCGAAGTGCCCTTACATTTTAGAATTCAAACTTAGTCTTCCGGAAAACAGTACCCTAAGCAATGGAAAGGTTATATAAATTGCCTATTTCTACAATCTGGCTGTGTGTGCCTGCTGGTGGGCACGGGGCCCAACGAGCAGCGGTTAGGGGACGTGCTAGAGGAGGGGTTCTGCCCAACGGGCGAGCTCCGCCTGTGCTGGCTGCAGACATGCGTGGGGGACTCGTGGAGAGGGGAGGAAGCCGCTCTTGGTCCCGCACGGTAGGTGGGAGGTGGACAGTTATTACACCTGACAGGAACAGATGACCTGTCCTAGAGGTGTTTAAGGACAGGCTGTGTCCACATGGGGCATGGAGGAGCTGGCCTGGACAGACCAAGTGTTCCGGAGCCCTAGCTCGGAACAGTCACTGCCTGGGAAGCACGGGTGGTGACTGAAAGCCCCAAGCTCAGAGTGGGCGGTGCTCATGAGACTTCAGCAGCACGCTGGCGGAGGCTGGGCTAAGGCATCCCAGGCAGGCCCGTCAAAGCCCTCCCCGCTCCTTCTGCCACTGCCTCCCCGCTCGAGTCCTGCTAATGCCTCTTAGCCCGACGTGACCCCTTCTCCAAACTCACCCAACTCTCAGGGCTCATCTCAGAGCTGCACACACCTTGCTGCCCCCAGCTTCCTCATTGGGGTGTGGGGTACTTGGCAGGCACGTTTCACGGCTGAAGGAGGCAGCTTTCCCACACCACCACCTCGTCACTCTCCTGGGAGCCACGCTGACACTAGTCTCGCCAGCCCCAGTGACGAGGTGTGCTCTTCAGAACTTCCAGAAGCCAGTGTTGCTTTAAAATGCTCTTGGTGTGAAAATCAGAGACGTCCACCTGACAGCTTTCCCACTAAGTGTTCCCGCGTGCTCCACCCACCATCAGTGAGAACTGGAGATAGGTGCAGAGCTTCCTAACAGCGTCCTGTCCTACTCGGTTACACAAAGCAAAAACACCATGGCAGTGTTGGCTCAAAATTCTTATGCTTTTACAGTCTATAAAGACCATTGATCATTGCTGTCGCCTAGGTCACAGCCAACAGGAACATACCTGAAATAAGTTCCTAAAAATCAACAGCTTTTCACCTAATAGGCCAACAAAATCAAAAGGACTTAAACAGCAGTGGTAATCCTGCTACGCCCTTTTTTCAACTGACAGTATTAACAATTTACAACACATTCTTTGACCCCGTAAGTACATCTGGGCATTTACCCTATAGCAATAAAATCTGAACTACATACACATTGCAGCACTGTTTGTAGTGGTGAAAAGTCCAGAAATGGATGGAATATCCACCCACAGGGAAATGGCTGGTTAGTCAGTGAAATACGAGGCTGCTGTCAAACAGGTGAGGTTTCTGTGTTAATGTGCAGACCGGTCCCTAAGAAGCTGTGCGAAAAAAAGAAACTGCACGCACCTCTGTGTGTATGAACATCTCTTGGTGGACTTAAAGGAAGTGATTCCCACCAATCTATTAACATCGGTTTCCTGCCCCCCAGGAGCTGGGAGAGGGGCGTTACTAAGTTTCCCCTCATTCGCGTAGTTCTGTCATGTGACTAAACACAACCCACCTGCATTACTTGTATAATGTTAAAAAGCATTACTTGTATAATGTTAAAAAGCTAATACATTAAAATTATTAAATAAATTAATAAAAAAGCTAATAAATTACAGTAAAGAGCTAGACCCTTTTAATCCTCCTTACCTTCTGGGGAGAGGTCAACAGTTTTAGCAAAACTGGGGGCAGTGCGTTTGAAAATCTTGGTTCTCTGTCCCCCCACGACCACCTCTGGGCCCAGGAGAGACACCAGCACGGCTAGGCTGTGAAGGGTGATGGCCACGATGGAGTCGCTGGTGTCACGCAGGCCCAGCAGCACCTAGGGACGGACAGGGCGGTGAGTGGAGGCAGCCAGGCCGCGTGTTTCCTATAAACACCAGTGGGGCTGTCATCAGACGGCGTGCTCAGGCCACTTCGCTTCTTACCAATGGGCTCTGGGGCAGCAGGTCTGAAACTCGGGTCCAGGACCAACGTTCCCCTCCCAATGCATCGCAGACGGATGCTTTTTAAAACATACCGTGAGGTGACGCCCGGTCAGGATGGAGGAGTACGCAAACATGAGCACATTAATACAACTACAGAGCCACCATCACTGAGACCCACCTGAGGACGAGCTGAACAGAAGTCCTGTAACTAAGGATATAAAGCAGCCACGTGGAGGCTGGTAGGAGGGATGGAGACACGGAACACACAGGCCCCACATCCGCGGTGCGGTTAAGAACCAGGAGGGACGTCTCAGCTGTGGAAGTCCCCCCTGAGGAGCCAGGGGTCCCAGCCCCACACGAGGCTCCCCAGCCCAGTCCTCACATCTGGCTGTTAAACCCAGTGGGGATTCTGTCCAGGAGGGAGAGAGGGAGGGATGCTGGAGTCCCAGGCATCCTCTTAAAGGGCCCGCGCACAGATTCACTTGCTCACACTCAGCTCCAGCAGAGGCGGCAGCTTGACAGGGACAAGGACGTACAGGGAGGAGCTGGACTGACTTCCAAGTGCGTGCGGAACGAGGGGCAGGACTTCTCTGGGGAAGGAGGAACCCAGGGGCCATTCTTCCTTTGTTGAGCCCTCCCCCAACCCCGATGGCAGATGGCAGGCACAGGCCAGTGCCAACCCTGCCTCCATGACTGTGGCTGACACCAATCGCCCGCTCTGGTGATTCCCGGAGACCCCCGCCCACCCAGCTCGCTCCTCCACACAAGTGGCTGGCCTTCACTCGCACTGCAGACTCCCCAAATCTCTCCAAGGCCCACAAGCCCCAAACAAGCAGCAGCTGGCCTTGGCATGCCCTGTACCTCTTGCTAGCTGGCTCCAAGCCCGGCACAAGCTGCACCCAATCTCAGTTTGCGCTGTAACTCCCATCAGGTGGCCCCAAGCCTGGCATCAGCTGCAGCCAATCTCAGTTTGCACTGTAACTCCCATCAGGTGGCCCTAAGCCTGGCATCAGCTGCAGCCAATGTTGGCTTGGAGCATAGCTTCAATTAAGTGGCCACGAACCCAAAACAAGTAGCGGCCAGGCTCAGGCTGGCCTCAGCTTAAATCATGGTGCCACCAAGGGTCCCAACACCAGTACTGGCGGCAGCTGGCCTGAGTTCACAACGCAGCCGCCCACGCAGCACCTCTACGCCCTGCACAAGTGGGGACCAACTGCAGATGACCTTGTAGTTCCTACCAGGTGGCCCCGGGCCAGACACAAGCAGCAGCTGACCTTGCCTGCTGCACCCGGGCCATTCCCAGGGGGCCCCAGAACCCACACGCGCGAGCAAGGGAAACAACAAATGGGACTACATCAAACTAAAGCGTTTTTACAGAGAAGGAAACCATAAGCAAAAGGCAAAAACCTGGATGGGAGAAGGTATTTACCAAGGATACATCTCGTAAGTGGTTAATATCCAAAATACGTAAGGAACTCATACAATACAAAAAACCCAAAAAAAACCCCCAAACAATGCAATTAAAAAATGGGCAGAGGACTGGAATAGTTACTTCTCCAAAGAGGACACATAGATGGCCAAAACACATCTGAAAGGCTCAACGTCACCAATCATCAGAGAAATAGAAATATAAGCCACATGAGATACCACCTCACTCCTGTCAGAATGGTCATCATCAATCAGCAAACATGAAGTGTGGGCGAGGACGTGGAGAAAAGGGAACCCTTGTTGGAGGGTTGGGGGCCGGGTGAGAAGACGAAGGGAAGAAGAACAAATGGCAGTTGTAGGAACAGTCACAGGGATGTAGGGTACAGCGTAAGGAATACAGTCAATACTGTAATTACCACGTATATGGTATGAGATGGGCACCGGTTTTACAGGGGGGTCACTGTGTAAGGTATATAAATGTCTTATCACTATGTTGTCCACCTGAACCTAATATAATATTGTATGTCAACTTAATGGAAAAGAAAATCTTTGGCAAAAAAAGTGTTAAGTGTAGACAGACTTGAAGGAAGGAAGCAGTTTATAAATCGTAGGCAGAATTCACAGGGCATGCTGACTGTCAATGTAAGCGTGTAACCCGTAAGATACGAGTGGCCAGGATGAATGGACGGTATGAGGGAATAGCCCGGAGTTCTGCTAATAAACAGAAATGGGTGACAAGGCAACTCCTAAGGTACAGTTATGCCACCTCTGGGCTAACAGCTGTGTCATCCAAAAATCAGCTACCCAGCACGGGCCCATATGTCCCAGTGTATCCTCTGCCCAAGAAACACACAATCTGTAACAGAAAAAACAAAGACATTGGCCAAGTGACTCCCTCGGGAGCAGCTCCGGTGAGAGTCTTCACTGTCTGTCACGTGCTGAATACCTAGTCACTGTGACCTCAGTCCACTGCCAATTCTGAGAGCTATGGCGACACCTCTGTCACAGAGTGCTTTGTTCGTCTTCTAAACTTCCAGGCACAAACAAGCATATACAGGTGACAATTACTGCTGCAGCTCCTGGAACCACCCCCCATCCCACCGTGAACCTGAGCTAAGAGAACGTGACAGAAGTGCTGTCAGTTCCCAGCCTGTGCCTTGGGACGGCTGCGCTGGCACGTCTGGCAGCCGTGGAAATGTCCTGTGGGGGCGGCGGATAGAGGCCCGGCTGTCCCAGTGTGCCAGCTAAGCCCAGCCTTCCAGCCATGCCCTCCGAGATGCCAAGGAGCTTTGGGATGTGCCGGCCCCGATGGGGGGTCGGGGGGGTTGGGCAGATGACTGCTGCCTCAGCTGACATCGTGGAGTGACAGAACCCCCAGGCTGGGTCCAGGCAATACAAAGAACGGCGAGAATCAATGATGATTGTTGTTTCAAGGCCCTAGGTTTTGGGGTTGATTACACAACAGGCAGCAAACATCTCTGCCAGTGTTGAGCGCAGAGCAGGCTGCCCGAAACACCCACAGTGGCCTGCTGAGTGTCTGAACCAGATGGCCTGAGAAGCAGAGAGCAGCAGGGGCTGCGTCCTCTGTCCCAAGAGCAGGAAGTGAGCCTCCGGGACAGGTGCCTCCTGCTGAAGGACTGATGCCAGCTCACCGCGAGAGGCGGCTAACGCCGCTACCCCTCCGCTAGTTCCCTGAAAGCAAGCGACTGTCAGAGGCCTCTATGGCCCAGCACCTCACCCAGGACCTGGCATAAAACCAGACCTTACAACTTCTAAATAAATTAATCTCAGGAAAAAGTATTTGCAAGATATCACGTGACTGACAAAACCTTTTAAAACCTTGTACTGAGCTGAACAGTGTGTCCCAGAAATTCATGTCCACCCATAATGTGACCTTAAAAGGAGGTCACACTGGGTGAGAGCAGGCCCTACATCCACTGACGGGTGTCCTTATGAAAGACCATGTGACAACAGGCAGAGATGGGAGCAACGCAGCTCAAGCCAAGGCGAGCAAGGGCTGCCGGGAGGGGCCTTCAGGGGGAGCCTGGCCCTGCGACACCGTGACTTCAGGCTTCTGGACCCCAGGGCCCCTCCAGGATCTTGAGGGGATAACGTCTACCGGTTTAAGTCACAGTCTGCAGTCCCTTGTGTCACATCAGTCACAGGAAACCCACAGGAGCCTGCAGCCCGTGAGCGCCACTCCTGCCAGGGCCCCAGGGGGCGCCAGGCTGAACCCGCGGAGAGCAGTAAGCTCAGGGCCCTCGCAGTTATGACTGTGTTATGTTATGCCCGTCAGGGACACTTAGTGTGTGTCCACAGCATTCCACAAAGGACGCCTGTTCCTGTCTCCAGAGCAGCAGCAGACAGTGAGCGCTCTTCTCGGGTGAAGACCGAATGCCTCTCTGAGCGGACGGGGATGTAGTTTTCATTTCACCCTCTATTCCGTGCCTTTAACCCTAACAGCAGCCTCGGGCCTCCTAAGCGGAGAACCCAACTTTACAGCCGGCTAATCGCAGCCCCCACCTGCCCTGGCCGGGCCCCACCGCCACGGTCACCGCCCACAGCTCACCTGTGGCAGGATGACTGTCCTCAGCTGCTCCTGGGTGAAGTGGCTCACATAGGCCTCCAGATGGGACAGCAGCACCATCCGCACGTGCTCCTCGTGGACCTGGAACAGCTGGAGCAGCACAGGGACCACCCGCGACTGGAACAGGGCTGGGGACAGCAGGCACGGGCCGGCGCCCCGCGCACCGTCTGCCCAGGTCAGGGGTGGATGGAAACACGAAGCGCCACTTCAGTGAAAGGAGCACTGGGCAGAACTCCGAACTCAGCCCAGAACATTCTCGGTCCTCGCCCAGGTTCTCCTGCCCCAAACCAGAGGCGCGCCGTGGCTGCCCCCGAGGCTGGCCACTCCATCTTACCCACTTACTGGACTACAAAGCAAGCTTGTATTTTAATAGAATCCCGAATCAACACCCTTTTAGCACTTACGTTTAATCGGGGAGGAATTTTCTATACTGAACTAGGATGATACCATTGCCATTTTAGCTGTAAGCAGGAGGTGTGACATGCTAGCAGCATCTTCCCCGGAGTTAGGGCTGCGCGTGGTGCTGGGAGAAACCCCTGTTCTCGCCTTCCCGCCCGGAACCAGAGCGCCGGGCAGACGGCAGCGTGTGAAAGCTCCCAGGGGGCTGATAAGCCCCCCCATCTGAGCTCCGCAGAGTAACAGGATGGAAGAGTTCTAATGAAAAGTTCACGGCGGAAGGGAGTGACCACAGTACGTCTGACTCCAGAAAGCGGCTCCACGTTGATCCTGGGGGTCCCCACATGAGGGCCAGTAGCTGCCGTCCTTTGAGAACCCCACGTAACTGCATCACGCACTACCTCACTCGGCTCACATACAGACTCAACACTGCAAATGCCTACATTACCGACACGCTGAAAAGGAAACTCACCTTTTTTGGGGCCAAGCAGATGAGGAAGAAAACTCTTAACAGCCACTGGCTCTGCGAACACCAACTGATTAAGCAGCAGAGGCACCAGCCGGGAAGCGATGAGTTCCTCCGACAGGCAGCTGACTCTGTCCAGCAGAAACCTGAGGGCCAAGGCGGGAAGCCGGTCGGGACGCTGTGGGCTCACTCGCCCACTTCAGGGCTCACGGCCTGTCCCCACTCCCACCTGAGTGATGCTCTCTGAAATGAAGTAGGGACGGTGACCGGGTGGGGCCCAGGCAGGTAAGAAAATGCAGGTGCGAGCCAGCCCGTCGCATCCCTACGACATCCGACCCAGGAGGAAACGTTCTCAACAAACCGCCGCTTATCAACACTGACGTGTCCTTCCCCAACAGCCAGCGGCTTTCTCGTCAATGAAAGGCCCTTCCCAGCCCGAAGTTTCCTGGTCAACACATCCAGGCCTTGTTACTAAGCTCTTCAGGCAGTGCATGTGGAAGCACTCAGGACACTCACAGATGTCAGGACTGCCAGTAATAATGTTGCGCTGTACAGTCAGCGGGGGAAACAGCGCCTCCTCCCCTATCGGAACGGGCACATCACGCTCGTCTCCTTAAGGCCCTGGGCCACCATCAGCAGGTCCATCCCCACCCAGCTGCTGCCCCCCCACGCCTTCCCTCCCAGGCCCACCCCCAGCCCCCCAGCAGCGTCAGCTGCTCCCTCCACTCCTCCTCCCCTCTCCCCACTTCCCTCAGCCTACACACACGCTCACACCTCCTTCTGCCTCGACTGCATGTGACTCCGTTTCCTGTCAGCAATTCCACGTTCCGTCTGTAGCCGGTGCCTACTTTCTCCCCCACTCACTCCTGAGTTCACTGCGTCGGACTCACTCTGCCGAGTGAAGCAGCCCTTCCTACGCCAAGGTCACCACGGCTCTGCTGATCGAGCCCCTTGCTTCCTGCAGTTCTCTGCTCCTCTGGGCCCCCCGGCCCGTCCTGGCTCTCTCTGTATCTTCTAGAACCACCGCTTCTGTCTCGTTCATCAGCCACTCCTGCCCCACCTGCCCCTTACAAGGTTGGGGGCCCCACGTCCTTTTCATGCCACCCGTCATCTCTGGGAGACTGTCATCAACTACAGGTTGATGAGCCCTAATTAATATTCACCTCAGCTGAGGTCGTCAGCTTAGGACTTCTCTCCTGAGCTCAGACCCTCCTGGCCAATGCCCAGCACATCTCAAGTCCCACGGACACTGCAGACTATCACTGAGCGCCACGGTCCTCACTGTCCCGCATGTTGGATCCTCTCCTCCAGGGTCCTCTAGTTCATTTGGTGGCAGTCCCGAAGGCTTCCCAGGTTTGCCTTGTTATGTCTCATCCCGGTGCCCTCTTGGTACCAGCAATGCCCTTGCACGTGACCTCACCTTTACCACCGTGACTGCCTTGGATCAATCTACTGTGCAACCCAAGTCCGGCATGAGCTAAGCCTGTGCCCCACAGACACGAGTGGCCCGCCTCAGGGGAGACTGGGTCCTTTCACGGCCTTTCATCCCTGGATGGCGACAGTGCCTGAGGTCCGCCCCTGACAGTGTCAGTGCTCCTCACTGCCACACACAGGAGTGCCCACCGCCCGCCAGTCCTGGTCTAGGCATCTGCCCTCCAGCAGACCCAACTGCTTGTCGCTCCAGGCACGAGACACTGTGCTGCTCTGTGCATTCGTCATGCTGACCCTGTGCCCAGGCGACCTCCCTGCCTGTGTCCTCAGGACGCCCCCACAAGCTCTGCCTGTTTCCCTCATCACACCTGCGCACCCCCAAGACCCAGCCGGAAGCCTGGCAAGGAAGGCTGGACAATGAGCTTCACGGGAAACGCAGTGTCTGACCCATGCTCTCCAGGTCACCTGATGACTGCATGGGCTTAATCCAAACTGCTTAATTTTCAGGTGTTACCTTTCCAAACTTACTTAAAGAATTCGGTTTTTTCCTCTTCACTCTTCAATGTTAAACTTTTCAAGAAATTCACAACTTCTAGAAAATCATTCCTAAACCCCAAAAAGAAAAACAATATGCAGGACAACAGATTAGAGGAGGCACGTTCCATAGTGAAGCCATAACCAGACTGCACTGTGGTAACAGGCACCAAAAAACACTCCGGCTCCACACCGCCGTCTTACACCCGCCTCCGCTGGCCCAGCAGCTCAGAAGCAGCACAAATGTCCTGACTGAATAACCGAGTGGGCTCCCCTGCCGGCTGGCTGGGATTTCTCTGGAGTTGGTGTGTTAGGCTTTCCTCTCTCCTCTGTTAAAATACAAGTCTTACTAAAGAACTCTTAGCACACAGTCCCAAGAGGATCTATTTACTGTAAAGGGTTATCCTTTCTAGAGACTTTATCAAGGTAAATAAAACATTACTGTGAATTAGCCAATAGCACACAGAAATGCCTTGGTTGAGACTCCTGTAGGGGAAAGGTTTTGACGTTTCTTTGAAACATAACTGACCAATAAACCCCTAATAACGACAAGGGAACCACCCCCTCTCCTGTTTGGTGACACCCCCAGCCCTGGTCTGGAGGGAACTGTTCCCCCTCTGGGGATCACGTTAGCTTTCCCTTCGCCCTGGTTTTTCTCAGGCTGACTGCAAACACAGGAGTGTTAGTTTAAAACTGACAGAGGACTGCTTTTGCTAATAAGTCATGAAGGTGGAATTAACCTGTGCAGAAGTTCGGTAGTCATGGAAATAAAAGGAAGGCCATGATTTCAGCTGACCTCGCAGCGGTTCAAAACCATCTCATCTCTGAATCCAGCCACAGTATTAACAGCCCACTGTCCTCCCACTAAACCGCCTTCTTTGTCCTCCCACGACTCTCACTCAACAAAGAAAAGCTTCTGCCTGGAGAAAAATAAGCTCATTTCCCAAACCCAACAAGAGAAAACAGCAGCAGCAACAACTCCTGTCAATAGCACCCGGTAGCAGGAAGGAGAGGCCATGTTTAGGAACTTCCTCAATTAGCTGAGAGCGGTCAGCCCCAGGCCACAGCTGCCTCACAATCAGAAGCCCTAAGAATTGGGCTGTAATTTCTAGAGCCAGCCTTTAGGACAATTCGATGTTTCTGACACTTCCTATCTGTGACAGGAACCTGCGGGGCAGCCCAACTTCTCCGCAGTCCCCATGTGGACACGAGCCAACCTTCCCTCGGCATGAACAACACTCGGTCCAAAACCCACAGCCAGAGCGCGGGGTGCCGAGGGGCGGGGTGCCGGAGTGCAGGGTACGTGGGCCAGACAGCGGCAGTGGGCAGCGCCAGCGGGTCCCACCGGAAGCCTCACCTGAAGAAGTCGTGGGACAGCAAGGTGCTGAGCGCTGGCCGGCACTTTGGAAGGGGATTCAGCAGAGCTGAGTGCAATGTCTGCTGGAAGCTGGCAAGAAGGTCCGCTGCAACTGAAATCCAGAGCGACAGTTAGTTCCCATGCTTCTCCCTGGCTCAGGGCCTCTACAGCTGGGATGACGAGGGCAAAACCAACCTGGAGAAGCCCACACAAACAGCGAAAGGCTTCCAGCTCCCTCAAGCCAAACTCCCTCCCGCAGGTGTAGAAAACGGTCCTGCCAGCCCACCCACGCAAGAACCCCGCCCCCACGTGCCAGCAGCCTGGGCCCTCTCAGTTCCTGATTGGCACTTTAGCAGCTCAGGTCTGGCGGAGGTTTAATGCAGGGCAGGTGTGAGGGCCTTGTCAGCCAGGGTGCTCAGCCACGGAGCATGGAAAGTTCTTCGAAAGACGGGATTTTCAGTTCTCCCAAGGGCAGTACAAAAGCGCCATCACTGAGACCCGTGGAGAGTAGGGGGCTCATCACCCATGGGGGTGACTTAGGGCCTCGGAGGGTAATTCTCAGGTACCGAGGCAGGGACAGCTCAGAGCTGACAGCTGACGGTGCTCGTAGCTCCAGAGCCCGGCAGAAGCCTGGGGGAAGAAACTGCTTTAGGAGCGCGGGAAGCTTCGGCAGTGACAGGCCAGCGGGGGGCCTGATGGGCCTGAACCCAGGACACCTAGGGGCGGACACCAGAAGGCCTGCGGTGGGTGGGGGCATGAAGCGGCCGCCAAGCGAGCCACGAGAGGACTCAGAAAACACTAGTTCAGTAGCCTGGGATTCAAGAGGCAACAAAGGAAAAAGTAATGAAAAAGTTACATTGAAGAAAATAATTCAAAAGGACTCAGAAAGAAAGAAGATAAAGAAATGTTAAGCTTGATTTAAAAATTGATCAATTTTGAATCTTACTCTATCCCTTGATTAGCTATAAACCAATAACAGCATTCATTTACTTACTGGCTGGTGCTGACTGAGCCTTTAGGCCACAAATACCAATACCGACTAATAAGACAGTAACAGCACAAGGTACTGACAGCCAGAGAGCAAAGTGCTTTAATGATGCAAGCTAGAAATCCAGGCTCATGTCCCCATGGCTGCTAAGGTCCCCCACACAGGCTACCCGGGAGCAGCAGAGCCCACACTGACCCGAGCGGAGGCCGTGGGGCCCACGTTCTCTCAGACGCAGTGGCGTGGCCCCAACTCACCCTGTCCACTTAAGACGGTCAGCACACTTTCCACCAGTGTCCCGAAGGCAAAGGCGTCCCGCGCGTGTCCGTGTGGCTCCGGCAGAGCTGTGAATTCTGGAGACTAGAGGCAGGAAAGGCCGATAAACTGGAGGAAGGAGCTGCCTCGGAAACCCTTTCGGATGCTCTCTGAGCACTCGCCCGTTTTTGCACTGACGGTGCTACACTCTGATTTATAGGCTCCTAACATCTGTGGCTTTCCAAGCTGTGTTTACAGCCGTCCAGAGGCAAAGGGTCATTACTGCCATCAGTATTCACGATGCTCAGTTTACATGCATAATGGAAACACAGGTTTCATAAAGCAGTCCTTAGCCTCACCACCTAAGATGCCCACTGCTATTTCCCATTCCTTTTTTTCCTCAAAATGCTAGTCAGAACCCCTAAGTTGATCTAAAGCCCACACAGCATCAGTGTGAAAAACACTTGGTGCCGACCTGGATAAACCTGACTGATTTCAAAGCTCAGGCCCACAGTTCGGTTTATATTTACAGCTGGGTGTGCAGTTCCTGTAAAGCACCCCAGATGTCTGTGGCTCGCTGACTGTTCACAGTGGTTAGAAGGACTCATTTCCGAACCTACTGGTAACATAACCTTTCTTGGCCAGCACCCGCCTTCAGAAGCACTGTCCCTGCATCTCGGGACCCCGAGGGCCCGCCAGGCAGAGCCACGGCAGACGTGAGGCCTGCGAAGGGCTGGGCGTGGCCTCCCCGACTTCCCTGGCTTCCCGCAAACTCCGAAGTCCAGGAACCGGGCAGGGGCAGCTGGCCCGCTCACACCGAGGTCCCTCTAGCTCCACACAGCATCACAGGTGCCCACGCACCAAAGTGTCGGCTGGGTGTCACAGAGGCCCTGCTGTGCAGACAGGTCCCTCTCAGAGGCCTTCAAGGCCAGAGGAATTACGAGGCCTTTACGTAGCAAAGGGGGGTGCGCAGAGGAAAGGTTTCTTCAACTCGGTCACACGAGGAAGCGTCCGTCACGTGGGACGCGCATCACCTTACCTTCTCTTCAGGAGGGATGCCTGCCGGGTCTCTCACTGACTGGATACTCCTCAGAAACTAGGCAGAGAAATTACGGAACAGAATTCATACATATGTTTGGAGGACAATCTCTCTCTCCGAGTTACCAAAGCAACAAGCAACTTTCAGAAACAGCCACGAAACCCTCAAATGATGAGACACATTCAACACACGGACGTAGGCTCTTCCTACTGAACAGGCACCGCAGGGCCTGGCCCGGCACAGGCTCAGCGGGAAGCAAACATCAGTTCCCTTCCTCCCCGTCAGCCGGGTTGCCAGGCGCCCTCTGCTGCTCACAGGCGGGTCTGCGCGACTTCCAGACGGGGAAAGGAGGGACTTGCTCACCCTGCACACACATTACTAACAAGCAAAAGGCTTTTCTAGCACAGAGCAATCTGTCGCGGGTCTTCGCACCGGACAAGTCGATGTCAAGGCTTGCTGCCGCGTGAGAGAGAAAAGTTGAGGACCATATAAGCTACTGAGACAAAACCAAGGTCCACAGAACGAGCACATTCTTTCACGATTCAAAGATTATTTTTCACGAGCGTGTCAGGGCGCTAGGAACACAAAATGGACACCCTCGCTCGAGTGCCCCGCAGGTGCTCACACGACTTCCGATGGCAGGTGCCGAGCGCCACGGACACATGGGAGGGCCTGGTGGTGCTGGGTGGGGGGTGTCCGCGGAGGGCTTCGCTAGAGGACACGGGGCTCGGGCACGGACTGCAGCTCCCTCTCACATTTCCCAGAGGGCCCGTGGGGAGGAAGACAGCCACACACAGGAAGAAGGGGGTGAAGGAGCACCGCCCTCTGAGACCACGGCCCTGAGGCCATAGCCGAGCCGCGTGAACAGGGCGCGGGCAGAGGACAGCCCAGAAACCGTGAGCAGCCAATGGAGCGGAAGGCAGCTGGGGAGAGGCTGGAGGGGCCTCACACGCCAGGGAAGAGACGTGGGGTGTGTCCCACAGAAGGAATGGCACGGCCACGCTAATTAGACGTCGGCTGAGATCTGAGCAGAAGCTGATGATCACAGAGCCGGCTTCGTGGTGGAAGCAGCATCTGAACTGAGCACGAGCTCCCGAGGCTGCGCATGCAAACAGGCCCACGCGTCGAGCCACACATGTGAGACTGGGTGACGAGGCTGGGCCAACCCGGTGAGCTGCCATGCCGTGGGGACATCATGGCAGGAGTGGGTTTTCTTTACTTACAAACAGTAGGTCTAGTGGCAACATGCAAAATGGTGAAAACAAGAAACAAAACAGAACACAGAGGTCTGTGAAGCCGGGCGGGACATCTGCACATCTTTGTCAGACAAACGGTAAGCGCCATAGGCAGCGACAAGCCCACCCGCCGGGAGGCTGAAGATGCACGTGCCCCACTCCCAGCTGTCAGGACCTAAGGTGTGACTCTGGGGAACTCAACATTTCCTGAGCGCCTAACACATGCCCGGCACTATTCCACGTGGAGATGCAAAGCAAATGTAAGACACCATCACACCTGGTAGAGCAGACACAGTAGTAATCCCAGTATTCAGCTTTACATGGTACCATGAGGTACCGGACACCACAGGGGCAGAGAGCAGGGGCACTGAGTTCAAAATGTGACCAAGACATCCCACCTCTCAGTCTCAGGCTCCTCAGCTAACAAGCGAGGAGGGAAGGATGTGTGCCCTCCAGCGCCCCTCATAAGAAAAGAACCCTACAAATCTCTGAATCTGAGCACTGCAAAAAAGTCAAGTCTCCTAACCTAAGATCGCCCTAACACTGAAGGCGAGTGCCTAGGTGAGAACCACATACCAAAACACTACCAAATTCTGAACAGCACACAGGGCCTGTCGCCTGGCTCACCTCTGGTGTGGCCTGAGGGACTCTGCACACTGTCTCCATGCCTCCGAGCTTCCAGTGTCCATCTTCACTCACAAACACAGACGACAAGCAGACATTGTTGTGTGTGAGGTGTCCCTGGGGAATAAAAAAAGGAAGAAGTTGCCACTCCAATCTTTGAAATACAAGTTTTAAAAACCTAAATACTAATTACCAAAAAAAAAAAAAACCAAACGTGGTGAGTCTTCCCGCTTGCGGCATAATACATGGAAGTATGGCTTTAAGGAATCACAAACGGAGCGAGCCTGCTCAACATTATGAGGTTAGAAACGGGAAAACGCCCTGGAAATGCTCCCGTTATCTCCGCCTGCCTGGTGGGGCAGGTTGCTACGATGTTAGAGCCACTGCACAGACATGGCACGTCCCCACTTCCACGGGAGTCCTTAAAACATAAATGTACAGATCTTTATAACCTATATGTTTGCTCCCGGGGCCTTTAAAGGGAAAGTTTATTTTTGTTCCCATAACTTATTAATTTTCCCCTCTAAATTCTTTCTCATCTACATTCTATCATGAACCCAGATCCACTTCACCTGAAATCTTGTCAGCAGGCATTAAAAAAATTCTGCCTGAAGACAAGGAAAATAAAATGATAAGGACCACCAGAAATATCTATTGGACCACAGAAGAGCCAGATTGAAAACTATAAAAATAGTACAGTCAAATAAATAAGAGGGAAAAAGAAAATGAGAACGGGGTTGAAGTATGTTTTTTCGAAACCAGAAATCATTCCAATAGACACGCATATTTTAAATATTCTACCCACTAGAGCAAATATGTACATATTTCATATAAAACACTCCGAGAGATATATTTTTTTAAAGGAAGGTTCAGAATCATAAGGACGGTACGTTTCCATTTGAGAATAGGTGAAGGAGGCTAAGCACACAGGTATCTGCTTTGTCTGCAGATACCTCTCTGGACTAGCACACGGATCACTGGGGACGTGGGTACTGCTTCGAGGACGGCGAGGGGCTGACTGTCCCTGTATGTGCAGCATGCTTTTTACCATGTGCATGCACTGTCTTCTACAGAGAGAATATTCCTCTACACGGAAGCATCAGTAATTCCTCCTAGGTGAACCTCAGGCTGCTCAGAAGAGGAGATCAGTCCAAAGTGATACTGGGAGAGTGTCTTCCATCGACAGAAAATGTTTTAAAAACATATGTGAGTCAAGTGCAAGTATTTCTAACTTACAACTGGTGTTTTTCATTTTGGGGGGCTGCCAAAGGCCTTAATACTTGGGAATGTCAGTTCCATAAGTGACAGTAGCCTTTTACGCTGTGAAGAAATAGGCCAGGAGTAACACAGGAGCAGGCACTTTCTCTCCTGAATCGCAGGCGGCCACAGGTGAGGGTCTGCCTCTCACGGGCACCAGCTGGCAGCTGGGAAGAAATGTGGAAAGCACTGCCTCTTCCTAAGAAACCATCATTTCTTTCTTCAAAATGGAACAAAGCCCCTGGAAATAAATAGGAGCTTTGGTCTGCAGCAGCACTGATGTTAAGTCTGTCTTAATAACAAATACCAGCTTACGCTGTTTTAAGTAAAGACTTATCAAAACTGGAGGTGACCAGTAACTGAAATAAAGTCTCTAACTAGCTGCCCAGGATGGAGAACTGTCGCAGCTCCGTGCCATTTTCCCCCAGGAACCTTCTAGAAAGAGTGGTAAGTGGGCTTCCACACACGCCAGGATTTACGAGCACTGCCACACAAGCAGCCCCCAGCGATATCCCAGCCCGGGAGGCCACAGTGTCCAGCCTCTCACCCTGTCGTGCAGGAAGATAAGAGCCAGCAGGATGTCGTAGATGCCCGCGCAGACCTCTGCAGAGGACAGCGTTTCCAGAGCCACCTCCAGAGGCTGCACTCGCTCGGTGACAAGGTGAATGCCATCTGATTCCACAGTGCAAGACAAAAATCTCAGCAAGCAAGGGTGACGGAGTGTCTTCAAGTGCTTTAAAAAGACAAACAGAAAAGCTTGGAAGTTAATGACTCGAAACCACGTTCACTGTAGTTACATGTGTGTTGCAGTAAAAGTCAGAAAATGTATAATCACGTTCAAGGTCTTTCCCAGCTGCCCCCAAATTTGCAAAAAGGCAAATTTTTACTTGTAGTTCCAGTTTCCCTCTGACTTGTCTGAGGTTACTGGCTTGACCAACATTTAAATAACTAGACATGTGACTTGTGCTATGGGAGTGTAAGCCCGGGAAGCCACATCTCCCAAGAACCGAGCGACAAAAACAACTGCTGAGAACTCTGAAAAGTAAATAGAAGCACAGCAGTCTACGCAGGCGAGTCCAAATTCGGGAGGAGGCACCCACGGAGTGAGTCTCCTGGCTAGGGAGGCCCTTCTCACACCGCCGCGGAGTGTGTGGCAAAGGTGTCTGAGCTTGATCGAAGCTCTGCCATCTTTCTGGCCAGAAGGGTCACAGAGAGGAACCAAGGCAGGACGCCTGGGAGGGGACAGCGGGAGGGACGCGCTGTTGTCTGCACAGCACACAGGTCTCAGGGGACCCCTGACCAAGCACGCACAGGACTATGTCCTGGGAAAGGTCTGAGGTTGGAGCTACCATCCCGGGAAGGGTTGGGAGAGGAGCAAAGGACATGCGTAAAAACACTATTCCTGAGGACCTGCCCCTGGGCCTCCAAGGGTTTCCGCGTCTGGCAGTGAGAGCACAGGTGTGGCACCTACCACGCACCTTGGCGGCTTTGTTGACCTTGTCTTCGTTTTCTCTCTTATACACGAAAACCGAAGCCAATTTACCATCTTGCAGGACAGCGGGGTAAACGGCCAACCCAGAGGGTAAGGTGAATGGGGGTTCCTTCAGCACACAGCTCCCCAAAGCGCTGTTCTCTGCTCCCATCCCTTAGGCGGTGAGGCCGTGCTGCAGCGCCCCCAAAGCCACACAGACCTGAGAGGACAGAGAACGTGTTCAAACTCCCAGGCTCCATCTGCAACTCCAGCCAGGATCAGACACGGCCCCTCAAACACAGTCCCTACAATCCTGGTGGACGAGGCGGCTGGACGGTGAGCAGGGCAAGTGTTCAGAAGTTACCCGCGTGCTTGTCAAACACCTGGGGCTCTAGAGAAGACGCAGGTAACCAGCAGTCCACACATGCCGGGGCGCGCAGGTGGTCACACAGGACAGGGTCACTCACGCTCCCCAGGTGAGTGGTCACACCTGCCCCACTAAGGTAAGTGCTGCAAGATGCGATTATTTAAAAGTGGTAAAACTTTCCTATGTCTAAAAGAGCTTAAAATTATAAAGAAAAACAATGCAAGCTGGAGTCTATTCCTAGCAACCATGAAAAACATTTTAACAAAGGGGAGCCCCTATAAACCGAGCAAAGCACTAAGGCGCCAGGAGAGGACTGGGACAGAAAACAGGCAACTCGCTGAACACAAACGGCAACAAACAAGAAGGGCGGCCGCATTGATACGTAATAAGGGGAAAGTGCAGAAAAGTATCATCTCAAATGCAAAAACGAAAACCAACCCAAAAAAACACCCCACATGCACAAGATTCTAGAAAATCCAAACTACGCTCAATGACAGAAAATAGCCAGTGGTTGCCCGGGGAGAGGCAGTTAGAGGGACCAGGGACGTGGAAAGGATTTTGAGGGGGATGAGGAAGCTTTGGGGGGAGGGAATGGATACATTCATTATCTTATAATGATTAGGGTGATGGGTGATTACAAATGTCAAACTTAAAAAACTGTCACTTTAAATATGTTCAGTTTACTGTATATCAATTACACTTCAATAAAGTCTTAAAAAGAAGTCTATGTTACATGCCAACATCACACACACACAGTGACCACGGTCTGCTTCGGGGCAGGTGGCAGGTAAGTCACAGACACAGGCGTGCGCACACGTGCCTGCAGCTCCCAGGCCTTCCTTTACAGCCGGGATACACGCTCACGTGGTCACGACAGGCCAGCGACAGCAAAGGGCCTGCTGTGGGCCCAGTGCCCGCGGGAGGGGCGGGCGCGATGGAGGGAGCAGCCCTTGCCAAGCGCCAACCAGGACGGCAGGCCCAGAGCAGCCCGATGCCACCGCCACTGATCAGAAGGGGCCAAGGGCCTGAATATTTATGTGGAAATTTCCCTATTTTTCAATGTCGACTCAAATTTTTAAGAACCTGTTTAGGCCAAATAACGTATGCCTGAAAAATGGGCGGCAGTCGAATTTCCATTCTGGCTTTACCGTAATTTAAAAAATAAAGAGAGTTCTTACTAACTCAACTCCGCCAATGTGGCAAGTGCCTAGTTCTAAATAACACGACCAACCATTCCATATGTAGACCTTTGACAATTTCAGGTTACAATCTGCATCCTTTGGATAAATATAAACCCAATAATCATCATACACCCTCTGCTTAGACTTGTTTCTCCACTTCGGTGAAGTGCCCCACACTTTATCCGAGTATGTGATGCTGCTCACGACTCGGGCATAAAACAGAGTTTCAAGTGCCTGCAGACCCACGCGCATTGTATGAGCAACGCGACATGTGCAAGGGCTAAAGCCAACTGACACTCAAGTTTTCCAAAATCCAAGAACGAGTCTGAGGATAAGTAGGAAGTCTGCTTTCCAACAAGTCCAGAGTTCCTACCTGCCTAGCAATCAATGTATCTTTCTTAAGAATGACAGAAAAGTAAAACCAACAACAAAAAACAGTATTTAAAATGTCAAGTGTCTCAACTACATGTAACATTCACCTTTCTCTGGAACTACAAGTAAAATTAGTGCTTAAGTAGGATGACAGAGGAAAGCACCTGTTAATCCCCCATTCTGGTACCTGCCCAGCCTGGGACAGCCCCACCTCCCGCTGAGTGGAGGGGCGTGGCTGGTACCTGGACCTTGCAGCCCTCTTCTTGGGTGCAATGGGTCAGGCGCCATCTCTGGGACCCATGGCCTGCGTGAAGAGCTAAGCTGGCCAGAGCACTGCCTCCCCCAGGAATCTGAATGCACAGAGGTATTTCTGTCCCGCAGCAGCACCGCCGCTGAAGGTAAAAGGATGCCATGCGGTAGTCAGGGCAATGGCCACCCAAAGCCATGGGAGGCAGACGCTTGGCAGAGGAAGGCAAACACTGGGAGAGTCGCAGGGCACATTACTAGCCATCGGCTCCAGGCTCCAGGGAGCCCAGCTCCAGATCCACTGCCTCCCTGCCTCCCTTAACATCAGGGGGCGCCTGCGGCAGCCTGAGTGGATCTATGTTCTTTGAAACCAACTGCCATTTCATAAGCAGAAAACTGCTTCTAACTCCTCCAGTCTGATAAACCAGTCAGACTAGAGGGGTGAGTTCGAGAAGCGTTGCTTTGAGAAGTGTCTATCTGAAGCTGGCCTAACTCTCCTAGCCACAGAATACAGCTTTCCAAAAAAAGTAAATAAATAAAAAATCAACACATAAGGAACTTCAAGAAAAGGAAAATCTCCTTGGCAGAAAATCATGCTGTTTATTTAGTTTTAATATTAATTAGTCCCCAGACAAGTTGGTCGCCAGGGTTGCGGGGCAGTGCTCTGGCTGAATGAAGGGCAGTCGGGAGAGGCACAGCAGTGGACATTTAACGTCATTTCTAAACAGCAAAGTGCTTCCTTGTGGGAATACTGGGCCTTACAACATCTAAGAAACTTCGACTTCATATTATGAATTCCACTAGAAGATAATGAACAGTTTAGGGACACGAAAGCTTTCGCAAGAGGTTAAAGCTGGTAATTTTTCTTTGCAGTGTATACTTTGGGTCTGAGGCCCTAAGAAATATAATTTTAAAAAGGAATCGGTCCTTTTCTTGAGAAAACCCAATAGAAAGGATGCCATTTTGTTGTTAGATGCATGATGGACGTTAGCAGAATTGTGCCGACGCCGCAGCCGGCGCTTACAGAGCCGGAGGAGCGCCTCCTGTGTCCAGGGCACGTTACTAGGGGCAAGTAAAAAGATGTGCTGTCGACTCGAGAATGTTTTAAAAGCAGGAATTCTTAATTCTTTGCTTCACACACCTGTACCCTAAGGGGCACAAAAACTGTGGCTAGAAAGAGTGCTTTAAAAACGATAACGGCTCCCATGGACTTAGGGAAATGTAAGACCAACTAACGCTTGCACTTCTAAAATGCTTCCTGATTTTGAGGAGTGAAGGGGAAGGCAACATTCTTTAGCTTTAAAACAACAAAGTCTCAGGAAGCTACAGAAGGGCCTTGTACCGCCGTGCACTCGCACGGGGGCTGTGCAGGACCTGCCCTCTCCACTCTCTAGAACGAAACGCTGGGCGGGCAGTTTCTGACTTGTGTAAACACCAAGCAGCGTGGTCTGGTCTTTCAAACATCGCCCGTCTTCATTCCTGCGCTTTCTTTGGGCGGCACCTCAAGTTTCTGGGCCACCTGTGGGTTAGGAAAGCCCTCGGCGAGGCGGGTCACTGGGCAACTCGGACAGTCAGCTCAGGAACCCGTGCCCTCCGGGGCACGACCTCGCTCTCCCTCCGCTCTCTGCACCGCTCGCCGCGGGGATCTCGGTCCCTGGCCCCTCGGCTCGGGAGCGCCCGAGATCGCGGCCCGCACTGAGTCCTAAGGTCGCTCGGTCCGGACTCCGGCTTGTTATGCAGCGACGACGACAGGTATGGGTTCCGCGCTGAACTCCGCCCAGCGTTGCCGGCTGACCAGCAACACATCACCAAGCCTCTCTGGACCCAAAGAACTAAGCCTCATGTCGGCGGAGACGGGATGCCATGCGGGCGTGCACGCGGGCCCTGGGGGCGGCGGGGACCGTGGTCCCGAAACTCGGGACCCGACTGAGTACCCACGTGCTTTCCCACACTCGATCACCCGAGACACGGCTCGTCTTTAGTCCACATACAAAGCACCACGCGA